TTAATGAAAAATATTTAGGACAGCGCGACCAATGCAAGAGAGGCGGCACCACTTTTAACACGGCAATATTTGCTGCCTGTCGCCCGTCTCAGTCTCGGCTTCCAAATGTTACCTTAACAGTTTAAGAAATAGCAATACTGTCACTATAAAATAGTAGGGAGCCAGTATACAGGGTGAGATCTTAACTGCAATAAATTCGCTAGCGGGAAGGTGAATAATTCTTCTAAAATTTCCCGAGACACGTCAACGTTTTAATATAAATGAAACCCTGTGGCTTGCGACCCTTCATTGCAAAGCTGATGGAACAAGGAATCCAGCGTAGTTTAATTTATTTTCAAAGTAACAATTGCTGAAAATGTTTGTTGTTTAGTTTTGGAATGTAAACATTAATTTTTAGATGTCCTCACAAAAAATTCCAAACCACTTTTTGCCACAACTGGTATTTGCTATTTTTTGCTAATGTTTATACACATCCGCAAAGAGAAATTTAGTTTGTAGTTGCAGTATTCAGCGTTCTTTACGAAGTGTTGTTGTAAACTGGCGAAAATGCCTAATTATTTAACTGAAACCGTAAAGATCGAAATTTTGATGATGATTGGATATGGTGATAGGATGCGAACTCAAAGCGAAGTTTTTCGACTGTTTAGAGAGTCGCATCTTGACTTGCCACAAATAAATCAAGGTACTATTAGTAAACTAGAGGCACAATATCGAGGAATGGGTCATGTCAGAAAAGTACCGAGAGTTTTACCAACAAATGTCAAATTACTCTTGTTGACAGCATTGTTTAATGTTGAAACATCGCATCAAAATTGCAAAGCATTAAACGTGCAATGGTGCTTACAACAAACTTGCGCCGTGAAAAGCAGCTTTATAATGCACCTTTGGACAATAATCTATGTAATCAAATATTGATTTGTTTAAAGAAAGATACAGTTAGTTATCTTATAACATTGTTTACCGCAGCCCAAGATATAATATCTTGTTGACAAACACACTTTAAGTTAAACATTATACAAACGAAAATAAATTTAATGAGTCTTTAATAATACCGATATGCCACGTGAAAAAATCTACTGACAATGCGCTAGTTCAGTGTGATGTCATTTTGGTTCCACTGACATTTAATTCTAACCAAACTTTTAACAAAAACATCAATAAATTTGACATATACGTTTTTATTGTTTTTAGTTTATTTCTAAATATTGTTTACAGGTCTTAAAAAATAGTTTAAAGATATGTAATTGGTAACTCAACGATTGTATATTTGACGCATGTTATCTACTTACTTTAGGAATATATTTATAAAAGTGAAAAAAACGATATAATTTAGGTAAACAAAACGAACAAAACGCACTCAAAAAATCTACTGTCACTTTAATTGTCAGTGGAACCATAATTACATCATCACTGAACTAGCTCATTTGTTTGACAGATTTGTCACTTATTTAAAAAATTATAGTACTGTGATTGGTGGATTTTATATATTTGCAGTGTTCTTACTAGGTAGAATGGATATAAAATATATTTGTTCAGCTGAACGCAATGGCATATTTTTTCGTTTTGTAACCTGTGCGTAGAATAGCTTATATCCATGTGGGTGTATAAAAAATATTATTATTAATATAACCATACAAATCATACGCTCTAGCCAAAAATTGTATACAGTGCATAAATTGTACGGTAATATCGTTTTTCGCTCGTGTTGGACCAGATCTATTGTCAAAGTCAGTGTTATGCTGAGGCCACACTGAGCGCTACGCTATGTTCACTACATTCGCTACATAACATAACATAGCGAACGTAGCATCTTACATCTATGTGGCCACGTCCGTTTATAATAATGGGAGATATTTTTAATGGACGTAAGCGAACATCGCACTCTGTGTGGCCGCAGCATTAGAGGTGTTTTAATATCCGGATTTTTTTTTTGCTTAAGTTTACTGTTAAATTTATCAACGATAATATCTGCAACATATATTCTTACGATGAACAACCTGATATGTTGCTGATTCTCCGTTTTTGTGAAGGAAATTGCCCCAAGAAAGTTTTCCTAATCGTCACTCGTGTGATTGTTGCACTCGCATTCGCTCATGCTATACGTTTCACACACCGTATAGAATAAGTTACTTTGTGCACTTGAGGCACAATGTGCTATATTCTACCAGCGTTCGGAAAATGCCATCTTTCCACACGCATGTCAGTTTAAAAAAATATACTTTCTCGCACTAGTGCGGAGATAATAATTTATTTTTTATTAAACATTTTATTTATTTATAATACAATACTCTATGTAATGTATTAAATAAACTGTATTATTATATATGGACATCACCCTATACAATTGATTTCTATTCAGGGGACCTATTTTCAAACCGTGTGAGTACTCATTTCTCTCAAGATTTCAGGAGAAATGTCATATGTCAACGTGGAAACTGTATTTTGAAAACCAGTGACTACCTCATGACTACTCACTGACCTTTTCTCTCGGTTTATTTCGAGAGAATTCATATTCTCAGGAGAATTTGACCACGTGATTAGGGGCGTGGGTACCCTTCCTCCATGTGTGTACCCATAACCGATGTGTGTACAAGGCCAAGTCACATACTACCTTTCTCTCGATAGAGCACTCCTTTCTCTCAATAGAGCACTCCTTTCTCTCGAGTTTGAAAATAGCCCCCCTGGTATCTTGTACTGTTTTTTACTGTATGGCGATAACGCCGGCTTCAATGTGGAATCACGGAATAAAGGCACTTTCAATTCAGCATTTAATTGAGTTTTATTATAATTTAGAATTGTGGGAAAAATAATAAAATAATGGCAGTTCTTAAGGAAACTAGGGATATTACACTCTACAGGTCATAAACCCAATAATTACAGAGCAGGAATTGACAGAATATAATTATTAATATAGCACAGATTTTTTACATAAAAAGAACTTGTTAACTAAGATAAAAAGTGAGATTTTATATCTGACAAATTGCAACTAAAGTTCATTGACAATAGAATTTGTCACTGTATACATAGTATGAAGCGGAGAATTTTCCAGAACATTTGTGCGAGATGTATTTATATAAAAAGTATTCGGGTGTCTGGAAGAAATTCTGGAAATGCAAATATTAAACTTTCCTAATAAGGTTAGGCAGTCAATAATACTTTTAATAATTTTATAAGTTACTACTACACTATAATAATCACGCCTTCTTTCGAGACTGAAAAAGTTATGTTTTTGTAGTAATTCAGAGTGAGGTGTACCTATTAGAGGATAAATACCATCAATTTTCAGGCTTAGCAGTTTTAAAAATCGTCTTTGAATTGCTTTTACTCGGTCTATATGATACTAATAAAAGGGGCTCTACACAACTGAAGCATATTCTAACTTTGATTTTATAAAAGCATAAAATAGAGTTTTTAAGGTAGAGGTTTCTTTAAAATCACTACTGCTACGTGCAATTAATCTGTACATGCGATAGGAGGAGGATACAACATTATCAATGTGCTTATTAAATGATAGTGCAGTGTCAAACGTGACGCCAAGATCAGTAAATGTTTTCGGTCGCTCAAGAGCAACGTTTTTTATTGAATATTTAAAGATTAGGATATTCATTAGGATATTCGTTTTTAGACTGTAGTACAGCACTTTACATTTATCAGGGTTTAGTGACAAGTTATTTTGATAACACCATTCAACAACCCGTGTTAAGTTTGCTGAGAGGTTCTCGCAATCACCTATCTTCTCCACGAGGCAGTATAGTTTTAGATCATCAGCATACAGACGGAAATGTACATTTATAATATCTGCAATATCATTAATGAACATAATAAAAAGGAGGGGTCCCAGATTCGACCCTTGTGGAACATCGGAAGAAGCACTATATTCAGCAGACCTAAAACTATTGAGCTGGACGTATTGCTTTCGATCCCATAGATAGGATTGAAACAGTTAAATTAAAGAGGGATATAATCCAAAAGCTACAAGTTTGTTGAGCAGAATGCCATGATCAAGTCTATCGAAGGCATTAAAAAAGTCTATGTAAATAACATCAGTTTGGACTCTGTTGTTAATAGATTCAGCAATGGATTGGGTAACGGTCAAAAGCTTGGTGATTGTTGAACGACTTTTCACGAAACCATGTTGATTTATACTTATTATATTACAACTTACATGACGACATATAACTCGCTCTAGCAGGATTTCAAAAACCTTTGCAAAGTTGCATATAATAATATCTCCTTTCTCGAAAATGGGACAGACCTTTGAGGATTTCCAGATCCCTCGTATTATAACCGATTTTAAACATTTTCGCACAAGGTATAACATAGGCAAAGAATAGGATTTATGTGCAATTTGGACAAGTTACTTTTGCATTTTAAGAATATTTTGGTTTATATGTGGAATTAAACATTAATTCTAGCTCGTGTGGACAGAATAACTCCATCCGGGCATTTACCACCGAGGTGGTAGAAGCCACTTTCAAAAATAGGGAATCTAGTAACGCCACAGCTGCATTATTAGCCTGCATGACTCTGACGAGCAGTCTTTTAACTAGCTGAGAGACAAGTCCTATTTGCTCTAGAAGTATGTACAATGGGCCTAGTGAGGCCTAAATACTGTGAGGCAATCCATCCTCCTCCCCCCTCCTTACAGATACAAAGACGTTCATCTTTACTTTTTATTTTCCTCACACTCGTAGACAAAAAGTCCAAATATATGCGGAAAATGTATTTCCGCACTTGGTAGGAAAAACCCTTTTTCCAATCTATAATGACATATAACTAATCGATACATGTTTGATTATATAAAAATGATCTTACCATTTAATTTTAAAAATGCAAAATCACATAATTTAGATGCAAGGGTAGCTTTTTTGAAAAATTGCACACATAATGTTTTGAGAAAACGATTAATTAAACATCTATCAGAATAAATCCCGTGGTATTTACTTTCTTTTCTTATGTAAATATAATTGTCCGATAACACTTATCTTGTCGTGTTTTAGGTTTTACCGCATAATATCATTCAGAAGCTTCGTGTCTGTTTCCCAAAGAAAATCGACGTTAAGTTCAAGGTTCCCTCTTACAACAGCTGTCAAAAGAGATCTCAGTGGCAAGCAATCTACGAGTAAGTAACTCCCACCACTGTTGATAAGGAAAGGTTAGTCTTGGATGACCTCCTGTTTTAATATAAAAGACATTTAATTTTAATGGGATAGTTTTATTTTTAATGTGACTTTTCAGCTTTTAAAAAGATGGACAAGTTAGATTTCGAAGTTTTTTACTTAGTCAGTTATGTTTTTATCGAAGGTTGGACAATTTTGTTATTTGACAGTTTGTTGCGGTTACGCATATAAAAACTTTAAAAAGACATATTAGGAGCGTGAAATGTGGATTATTCATATTTATTTTGCAGATTGTACTTGGTGTCGGTATATTCATCAGAAGGTAAGATTTACAATTTGGTTATTTTTCTACACTAAACATTTTATTAATTAAAATTCTGCTTAATTCATAAAATTTAAATTTAAAAATTATTTTAATAAGAATTTGGTACTAAAATATTATTTTTTGTTTTATAAAAATTAACTTTCTTGCTAAGAGTCTACTCACATCGTACCCTGTATTTATTGATTGATATTGCAATAATAATACATATTTCCAAAGCTAAAAGTTTACAATCTTTATGATAATGATAATACTGTAGAATGTCTGTTATCAAAACAATATAATCACTTCTGTAGTTAGGTATATGTACTATAATTCAAATTTCTTTATAGTTTTTGTTTACCTTCTTTCAATTAATAGATCAAATTTGGCTTCTACAGATTACACACAGTGGAATATGTGCAAAGACTTCGTCTTATCGTGTTTTATAAGAAATACCAAATTATTTTTGACGAGTTTCCAATTTCATTTTACATTACATTACATAAAAACCTTATCATTTGAAATTAAACAGGTTTTTAAATTGTCTTTAAACAAGTATTTCAAAAATTAAATAGTCTACGCAGATTAGTTCCAGAATTTAATCATTTTAATTCATTGTTTTAGAATTCTGTTTGTTTACAGGATGTTTCTTCATGATATACGAACCAATTTTTGTACATTCTTTAATACATTAATTTTCTCGGACAATAAAACGATTATTTATCTCATAAACGGAGCAACGTAGGAAAACAACTCAAGAGAGCCTTTAATTTTAAAATTTTATTTGCAAAAAACATTTTGTTCTTCAAAAATATCAAAGTTAGTACCCGTAGGCACGCCACTGTTAAAGCTGAAAATGATTGTTGTATTAAAAAATATGCACCATTATTAACTGTCACTGAATATTAAATATCATTGAAATATCTCAAGCGGTTACGAAAATATTAATAAATTCCTTTTTTTTTTTTTTTCTAAAAGTTTAGTAACGGAACATTTTTGGACTATCTATCATTAATTTTTCATGTAGATTCACCCTTAAATATTCGCATATAATTATGGACCACCCTATATAACTCAATCTATTGATTTTAAACACCGAATTTAATATATTTATTTTGAAACAAAAACTAATAAATTTAAAAATGTATTTTTTAAAAAAATATTTCTTGAAAATCATCTCCATCTGTAACGAGTGTTACCTAACCCCTTGCCATATATTTTACATAAATGTTGGGGAGACGAGAGAAAACAAAAACCTAATTACCATTTTTCCCATAAATAAAAAAAATAAGTTGCACATTTTTTGATATTTAATTTTTTTTTGTTATGGACTGTATAGTTACACAGTCTTCAACAATACCTGTATCCCCTTGATCTGATAAAAACAAGAAATTGAATGGTATAAATGGAAATGGATTGTTTTACATATTTTTATGACAACTTAAAGCTACCATTTCGCAAGCCGAGGCAGAGACCGACTTCAAAACGCGCCGCGACAGCAAGGGAGACACTAAACGGTCTTTTCATGTCTGAACACATGTAATTATATGAAACACATTTCGGTAGACGCGACAGACGACATCAGATTTAGTATGGCAATATTTGCCGCCTCACTGGTGTCTCGGTCTCCTGTCGTTTGTCGCGTGTTCCCAAATGGTACCTTAATTGTCATATCTTTCAAATAGAGCAATTGGCATTGTTTTGGGGTTATTTTGCAAAACTATTGACATCAATTTTCAACCGACTTCAAAAAAGGAGGAGGTTCTTAGTTCGTCGGAATATTTTTTTTATTTTTTATGTATGTTCAGCGATAATTCTTTACTACATTGCCCGATTTTTATGATTCTTTTTTGTTAGAAAGGGGGTACCTCAGGGGTAGTTCCGTAAACAATTTTAAGGGCATCTGCACTGTTTTGAAGTCGGTTTTTAAAAATTACTTTTATGACATGTAACACGTGAGATATGGGTATATTTTTGAAGATTGTGTTCCACCTCATTTGCCATTAAACCTTTAAAACTCAGAAATATCCGATTCCTGAATTTGTTCGTACCCTAGCACTTTTTATACAGGGTTCCTAATATTTCATAGGGACACTATTGCTATTTCTTAAACGGCAACAGATAGAAAATAGGTTAAATTATACAAAAGTTGCGCACTTTTGTGCTCATTAAAATGGTGCCAAGAAACCTTTGATATATAAAGGGAGATTCAAAATGAATGAATTAAAAGAAGTGACAATTTTAATTTTTTGTCCGATATTTTGAATTTCCCTGTAGATATCAAAGGTTTCTTGACACCATTTTAATGAGCATAAAAGTGCGCAACTTTTGTCTAAGTTACCTAACTTTCAATCTGTTACCGTCTAAGAAAGAGCAATACTGTCTCTACTGTCCCTGTATACAAGATGGACCACCGATAATGTCTCTGTTTGTAGACCCAAAACTATTTATTTTATAAAAAATCAGTTTCCACAGCGAGATGTATATCAGAAAAGGCAACAATTTCAAAATAATTTCAATTATACAGGGATCTCCAGGAAAGTGATACATATCATAGTTAGATTTTTTAAATTGAACACCCTATATTTTATTTTTTATTTGAATTGTCCTCGCTTTTTTCATTATAACAATACCAAATAGTATGGGATTGTACAGGGTATTTCACACGCTATAACCAGCTTTATATGAAATTCGTATTGATTTTAATGACTTGTATACTGTAAAATAAACAATTGAAAATCAGTTTTTTTTGTCATAAAAACTTTTCGATATTAGTCAACATTTAATGCCCATGCACTACTTTTTCAATTCGAAACATCTGTACATTTGTCTCGTTTTTTTTTTTAAATTTTGTATCACCATTTAGTACATTTCCGACGAATTTTCCAAAAAAAAGCAAAAAATTGGAGTATACTACTTGACGCTTGTCATGATCTCGCATCAAAATTTTCCCGATACTTCGAACACTTTCCTCAGGAAAATTTGGGTGGGACACTTTTCCGGGAAAAAAATTGCTTAAAAGAGGAGATAGAGCAAAATGACCTTAAGAAAAATTTGGTAGGGTTTTTACAACAGGCGAAGGGAGAAATCAAAAAATCCGAGAACATTTTTCGCTTTTATCAGTAATTTAATTAAATTTTTTCCACCATAAAGTTTTGTTACGAAATTTAATAGGTACGCTCCTACCATTATGATCTGTTGAATTACTCTACTTCTGAATTTTTGAAATTTTCTCTTGAATCATTTCGGAAATTTTTAAATTATCCTTCGGGAAAGTGGTTTTCCATTAATTTTCTAGGGAAATCAACTTATTTTTTCAACAGCTCGCTTTTATCCATTTTGGGAAATTCCCTTTCGTTTAATAAATATCGATAATAAAATTGTTTTTCAAATTTTCCTACCTTTAACACAAATTTTCCGGAAAACTAAACATTTTCTTATATTACTCTAAATTCTTCACAATTGACATCAAACATTTTCCGATATCTTAAGCACATTATCCAGGAAAATTGAACAAATATTTTCCTGTAGAAACTGAGTTTAAAAGCAGTGCTGTTCCTAAAGTGGCGCTGGGAAACAGTAACAAAGCCTACACAGAACACGAGGCTAATGGCCGTAGTAGTCGACGCCGATGACACCAAATTAAAAAAAAAAAAAAAAAGCGGAAATGCAGTAAAAATTATTAGGCTCGATGAGGTCTCGGTAATCGCATGAAATACGACATGACTGGTTATCTGTATCATGTGGAGGGTGGGTTAGGACTCATTATGCCCATTGTGCATGCTTCTAAGATGATAGGCACCTCCTAACTCGTGAGCCGGCCTACAGATTTAATGTAGTTGACAACGTCGCCAAGAGGTGCTTCTTTTATATCGGCCGGTGTGAGCCGATACTCGCCGAACACAAACATTCTAATAAATGAGAGCGTCAAGCAATCGTAAAGGATATGCTCGATGGTCTCATCTTCTCTGCAAAGTGCGAATTCTGATAGCCTCATGATATGGAGATGCTTCCGTACTTGGCAATGACCAGTCAGAATGCCTGTGACTAGACGCAGATTCTGTCTAGTAATAGTCAAGTATTTGTTTGCTGCAGTGTTGTCAGGATAACTTAAGAGCTCCCTGGCAACTCTGCAGTTTCTTGTTTCATCCCATCTTTCCTTGAATTTCACAAGGAAATGTTCTTTAATTAGGCCTGTCACTACCGATTTTGTCAGGCCATTAGAAGGACCAGGTCCAAAAAGTATTTGGATGGCTGCTTTCTTGGCTAGTGAATCAGCAAGACGATTACCTTTCGATGTGGCGTGACCTTTAATCCATCTTAAGGTGACCACATTGTTGATGATACTTCGGCCAAAGCTTCGTGACATTATAGTACTAACCCTGAGTAAATTCGTGCTCTGTTCAGGGTGAGTAGTCTTGTCTGCTATCTGTAGATGAGCATGTGCCTTACAGTGAAATTATTTTTGCTTATTTCTTTTGATGGTATGAGAAACCTCGTTAGCTCTGTTTGGACTACACTGGCACTATTGCTCACAGCCCATTTTATGTTTAGATTTAAGAATCTGGAGTATATTCCACGACCTGAGCCTTGTTTTGTTTTAGAACCGTCGGTGTAGATATGAATCGTACCTGTCACTTCTGGCTCTTCTATTTGTTCTATTATAACTTTATATGGCCTATGGAAGATATATCTCGCTGAGATGGAGTCCATGTTCGCTTGAAGCAGTGGGAGCGTATCGAGCGCCTCCTCCTCCAGATCCTACAGCAGGTTCTATTCCAACCGTGCGGAAGCGTGTCATTGTCATCAGAGCAACCTTCTTGATGTAAATATCAAGGGAAGTGAGACTAAGAATGACTTCCATGGCTCTTGTCGGTGTTGTTTTCATGGCTCCTGTTATGTCGAGACATGCTGTTCTTTGAATTTGTTCTAGTTTACGGATAGCTGTTAATTTTTGGGTTTTCGGTACCCAGACAACTGTACCGTATTTTAGCATAGGTCTTATGATAGCCGTGTAAGTCCATGCGACGACTCTGGGGGAGAAACCCCAGATGCGCTCCACGGTTCGGCGGCATTGTTCATAAGCAATGTATGCTCTTTTAACTATGTTTTCTATGACTGGTTAGCAGGTAATAGTTTGTTAATTAGTAATTAGAATTTAACCAGCTGTAATTTATTGTCGACTGAATAAATTTTTGATAATTTCTAATAGGACTTTAACATTCAGTAAAATATTGATTGATTTTTAAGTTGTCTTTGCAACTCTAATACTGACTTTATTATTACTAATGTCATTACTAGTGTTGCAATGTAATCAGTTTTTTAATATGACCTTTAGTCGTGAATAAAAGAAGAGTTTTAAGTACTCAGGTAATGCTTAGAAATGTGTATTGGATCTTTGAAAACCACCTTTAGATCTCCAAAATTATTATTGGAGGCTACTTAAAGAAACATTTCTAATTAAATAAAATCTGTCAAAATAAAATTTAATGAACTGAGAATATAGTAGGTGTTATGAAGTTTTTGGTTGCTATTTTTATTTATTTTTTTAATGAATGTAAAAGTCGCACTAGGTATTGTCAAAAACTTATTTAGTCGATAATAAATTATATCTGGTTAAATTTTAATTACCAATTAAAAAACAGTCTCTTTCCTATTAACCAGTGACCAGTTAAAATTAAAGTATTTGGTGAATTATCTTTTTTCCTAAAATTAATAAATTTACGTATATGGAATGATTAACGCAAATGAAAGAATAATTAGGGTACTGTTAAACGGTGGTATAAATTATAGGGTGGTCATTTAAAAAAAACTAGTTATAACGTGTGAAATACCTTATGTAATAGAAATCGAGAACTATTAATAGTCGACAGTATCGATAGTTGAAACATGAACTATCGATAGTTTTTCCGGTATGAAATAATTTAAGTTTTAGGCAAAAAACAAACTTGTTTTATAAAACGTTTATACTAAACCCAAAAATAATGTTGATACTGCTTACCTTTGCTTTTATTAAACAAGAATTTTTCCATTGTTACAAATATCTAATAGTTACAAACATGAACTAAATTGTTTATGTTAGAAAATGACACCCAAAAATACTAAACAATGACCACGAATTAATTGCCTCTTGAGAAAACGTTTTTCTTTTCACTTTTTTCTGTTTTGTGAAAATAGATGTTCATTTACCCAAAAAGAGGTTAAGGTAATGGGTTCTACTTCTTCTAATTTTGTAGATTAGGGCACTATCGATAGTCCATGAGAAATATTATCGATAGTATTCGATAGTTCATACTATCGATAACTATCGATAGTTCTCGACCTCTATTATGTAATCCCGTACTATTTGGCATTGTTGTAATGGAAAAAGCAAGTTGAGTTCAAATATAAAATTAAAAAAAACATAACTTTGATTTGTTTCACTTTCTGTTTCACCATATATAATTGAAATTGTTGCTTTTTCTGATATACATAGCATTCTAGAAACAGATTTTAACAAAATGAAATAGTTTAGGCTCTACAGATCGAGGCGTTACCGGTGGCCTACCCTGTACAATCATTACCAAAAGAAAAATGTATTAAGGGAGGGTTGTACAATAGACAGTATCGAGTTCCTCACGGCAGTCAAAATCGTTCCTACCTGACATCTGGCAGCAGCGTAATACTAATGGAACATAGCAACCGTTCTTAAATCTTAAAAGAATGTTTTCAAGTCCACCCATTCAAATTTTCTCCTAAATATAGGAATATTGGTCTAATTTCAGACGCTCGTGATGCAACTGTTTTGTTAAGTTAAATTTGACCTTCAATTAGTTACCCGTCAGTAAAATGATTTTTATACAACTGACCCTAAATGGTTAAAATAGAGAAGATTGCATTTTATAAATAAATAAAGATGAAAACTAACAGGCTAAACGTTATCTATAATAATTATTACTTTAGACTAATATCAGTGTAGAAAGTTTAATTCAAAAAACCAAATTGTAAACCTTATTTTCAGGATTAAGTGTCTGAATACTATGAATAGTTCACGTTAATCGATTTTACTGGTCCACGCCTCATTCCAAGGCAAGCTAAAAAGATATTTCTTTTTTTGTATATATAACTAGAACTTGCATTAACTTTTTGTGTCATTTTTGTTACTATAGGTAGCTCACAATGGCAAACTATTATAACACGATTTTTGCCTGTGGGAATATGCTTGATAGCTGTTATGCAATGGCGTGCTTTCAGAAGGCGACAAAAGGGTGTAGAATCTTATACGGCTAGTAAATGGGAGATCAACTGTTATTGTTTGTTGCCTCTGAGGACTGTCTCTAGATGTTGGGGATATTTAGCAGGTAAGGATGCATTCATTCTGTTAAATTGTTTTTTAATGGAATCCATTATGGTATGTAAATTTTTTATCACTGTCTATAGTAACACCGAGGTCAAATGTGTTTTAATGTCAACAAGTTGATGAGGAAGTTTAAAGTACTGTTGTCGCCAATTTAGATATGGCTGTATTTAAATTGATAAATAATATTGTTTCAAATGTTAGCCTCATTACCAAATTATCTGGTTTTTGATGATATCTTTCTTTGTTTAAATGTTATTGCTCCGGCTGATTGAACATGAACATATAGGTGATTTTAGCTTAATATTTTGTGCATTGCTTTTGTACTTTTCATTTTTTTTTCTTTATCATTTTTTTTTTTTGCAAAACAAACTTTTAATAATATTTCTTTATTTGGATTGGCTTTATTTTACGATAAATAAATACGTGTGCATACTTTTAAAAGATAACTTTTTGATGTAGATTAAATACGTTGACTTTTAGATTAAGCAACAATATTACTAATAAAATGCATTTTGCCTTTTAACTTTGTATCTCAGTTTCACTTTGAGAATGCTGAATACATCAAAATATATAAATTTCGATCATATTTAGCGCAATACGTCGTATTATACACTGGCGAGAATAAAATTGAGGTCACCTTAAAATTTTCATGTTCTTTGAAATTTTACGTTTTCAGATCGTATTCGCAAACTGTACATTATTGCATGTGCTTTTGTAAGCTGAATGTGATACTCTATACTAAACAGAAATGCATTTTTTTCTTGGATTTCATGATTTATTCTGAAAAAGCAACAAATTAACATTTTGGGCGAAATTCAACATTTTGTTGTTAGGGAAAATATGGAGCGAATAAAATGAAAAAACTTGACACTAATAACGTGTATTCATTCCTCTTGCATTGATGACGGCGCGGCATACTTTGAATTAAGTTGCGGATCACATTCTGGTCGATGTTATCCCATTCCTGCAACAGCAATCTTCTCAGCTCCTGGGCAGTTCTTGGTGCTGGTGTGTGTCTGCGGATCCGTCGTCCCAACTCGTCCCAGACATGTTATATGGGATTCATGTCCAGGCTGCGGGCTGGCCAGTCAAACCGCCTAACTTCTACCTCATCCAGATACTCCCTGACAATTCTGGCTGTATGTGGTCTCGCATTATCTTGCATAAAAATGCCACGTTCCGCCAGTCACCATTAAAGGCATAACATGTACTTCTAGCACCTCCATAATGTACCTGTGAGAGGTTAGGGAGCCATTTTCTATAAAGACCAACTCTGTACGAGCTTGTGCAGTAATTCCCGCCCAAATTATAACTGACCCACCGCCAAATGGAAGACGCTCGTCAATGCAAACTTCAGCATATCTTTCCCCAGGTCTTCTCCACACTCGTCGACGTCCATCTGACCCAGTGAGGCAAAAACGCGACTCATCTGAGAACAATACCCAGCTCGTCATCATCATTCCAACGAACGTGATCTCTGGCAAATGTCAATCTTGCAGTCCGATGCTGGCGTTACAACGGGGACCTGTAGCCATTATTCTGCATGACAGTCCAGAAGCATGAAGTCTTCTTCTAACGGTCCGTTCACTAACGTTGACATTTCTCACTTCTTCCAACTGATTTCGCAGTGAAACCGCAGTAGCTGTCCTATTCCGCAAACTTGTGGACACCAAAAAACGGTCATCTCGTTGAGTGGTAACTCTTTTTCGCCCAGACCCTGGTCTTCTAGGTTTCACGTTGCCCCCGACCATCTTGTAACAGCGCAACAATTCTTGCCACAACAATCGGATATAAAGGCATTATGAGCCTGTTAAATCACTACACTTTGCAATCGTTAGGTTTTACACAAAAAATCAACAGTAAACTGGAAAACAGGCAAGGAAAATGTGAATGTTCAATTAGCGTAAAGGCACATTTTTCATAAAAGTCGTACAAACAGGGGGCCTTTGTATTCTAATAAATCGAATGACAGCTGTCAAGTCTCGGACAATTGCTTCAACGCCTACTGATACTATTATGTCCTTATCAATATTGACGCTAAAATTATTCGCAATTTCTGAAGTGACCTCAATTTTTTACTCGCCAGTTATTTTTAGAGGTGGGAATGGGGTGTTAATACACTGCAACCTAATATATCTAGGAAATGTCTCGATGCCTATAACGACCCTTCCAATCCTATTTTCTTAAAGAAGTGTAGGATTTGGAGTGGCTTCAAGTTAGGTAAATCTCCCTCTTCTATTTGATATCATCCTAGATATAGTGCCCTTGGATTCTGGAGTTCTACACATTCAGTTAGAATGTGAATGGAGGTTTCGTCGTTCTCCTCACAGAATCTGCACTCACTATCCTCCGCTACTCTCAGTTTACTAAGGTCTCCTTTTAGTCGGCAATGCCCGGTAAGGACCCCTGTTACAATACGTAGCCTGTTCTTGCTCAGGCAGATGCAGGCTTCCGATCTTTTCTGGTTATGTTCACCCAGAAGTATCTTAGCCTGTCTCAGCTCGAAAGAGATTTTTCCAATTATCGGTTCTTCTACTGCCCAATTTTTTTTTAATCTCCTAATATTATATATTACTGCTGATACCGCAGAACGGCTCAGGTTCTACAAAGGGTGTTTGAGCTCCTTTCATTGCAAGACTATCTGCATTCTCGTTACCCTGTACCCCGTTATGTCCGAGGACCCAAGTGAGAGTAACTCTATTTTTCTCGCCTAGCTCATTCAATTGTTACATAAGAGCTTAGCGCATTGATGTCTTCTTAGCAATCATATGGGTTGATAATTTCGTGTCTACGATAGTTTCTTTCAATTTTAAACCAGATACACCTCTAAATGGGGCCTGGAAGATGCTTGGGTATTTTTCCAAACTTTCAGGGTGTCTGGTTCTAGACCCACACACTCCTATTCAAGTTCGTTCTATGGTTTTTGAACCATTCGTATACCACTGATTAGCATGTCTTTTGGTCGCAAGCACGAATAATTCTTGGCTCCATTCTTTCTCACAGCCAAGTTCTGTGGTTTTGAAGTTTTTTTCAAAACTGTACTTTCTCATTTAATACTTGGGCATATCCCAAGTATCTTCGGTCCCGAAGCTAATAGAGTTTCGTCTGATTACTCTGTTCCTGATCATTCTATATCGTATGAAGTTCAAGATCACCTCCATTGCGCCATAGAACAGATTCTCATTGCACCTGTGATGCAAACACACCTATAGGTGATAAGTAGTATTTATCTAACCTCTATCACCCCTAGAAGTATTACTCGATATTATTGGTTCACCTTGTACGTTATAAGTTAACATATTCATGTTTAAGTTCCTTCAAAATATAAATAATAATGATCTTAAAATCCTTATAGTTTAATCTTTATCTAATCTTTCAATTAATAATTATTTAAAGTATTGTTTTGTAAAAAATCCTCTTTACTGCACAAATGTTTATATAAACAAAGTTATAGTTAACGCTAATTATTATTCTTATATTTTTTTACTAATTGATCCATAATTATATAATTAATTAATTTAATCTGAAGTTTAACCAAAATAACGATGTCTATAGAATCCGAAACGTATTTTAATTTTATTTTGCTGTACCTACCGTGCTACAATAATACGTCGAATTAGTGATGACGTACGCATTGCGTAGCCAAACAAAGTTGATTCTCTATAGTCTAAATGGGGTTTAAACTTTAAATAGATAACATTATTTATGTGTATATTAGTTTGGTAACCAATTCTGTAAAACAATTAAAAATAAAATAAGATAGTATCAATTTACATTTTATTACTATCAAAATCAATGGTAGAATCGTTTGTTTTTGTTTGGTCATCGTGACGTCACACTAATATGACGTAATGATGTTATTTGGAGTTCCTAAATGTTTACTTTGCATCTGTTTGTTTCGAAAATTTATACATATTTATATTTTTCAATTTTACTGTTAATTTAAAAACAAATATGTTGATGTTATTAGCTATCGAATGTCAGAATTGGCTTATTTTTACCGGGACGTACTGGTTATTTACGTAACCTAATCTTTTTTCATTTTTATAAACAGAAAAGCACCTCGGAGCTTTCTGAGTGTACAAACAAAGGCAACCACAATTAACTATTATAGGCTGAGTTCGGCTTGGGGCAAGTTCGAGATGACGCCCTATAGAGTGGGCAGGGCATGAGCAGAGTCCTGTCAAGTCAGAGAGCGAATGTAGTAACATCTCGAACGCGTTCTGTCACAGTATTATACCTCCATTGTCGCGTTTGAGAATCCACATCGGATGCATTTTTTACATCTCGAGCGTTTTTTTATCCACATCGGACACATCTGTCCCATTACATTTACGTATACTGAATCACGTGATCAAAGATTTACTACATCTCAGATGCATCCGATGTGGATTCTCAAACGCGGCACATGTCTGTCACTGAGAGTAAAAATCATAACCTCAATCCAGTATGTCAGTTAACGGTCAGTTAATTGTTAAGCATTACAAAGAATAACATAAAATAAACTTTCAGAATTTACTTATAATAATCTATATGAGTTAAATAATTTTAAAATACAAATATTACCTAGCATAAACCCACAGAACAATGATATGTGCCGTTCATTGACGTAATTGACATTTCACTATTTAACTTCCCGGCAGATCTCGATCTTCTAACACAGGGTTAAAAGAGTGCACTCGGAGTCCATATTCAAGGTGAGTTCGGGCTGCGCACTCCAGAGTGGAGTAGGATAAATAGGCGTAAACGGAGTGCGCATATGATTTTACTCCTTTTACTCTTGGAGTGCAATGTCAGTTGTCAATGTTACATACAAGTACTTAAAATCTAATTGTAATTATCAGTAACAACCGTTTAAGTTTCCTCCATATTAAGGATATTCACGGGGACCAAATAGAAAGCTTTTTTACTAAAGAATTAGTCACAATTATCTATTTAAATCACCTTTTGCGCATGCCCGATCCACACTCCACTCCATGATCTCCGAACGGTCAAAAATGATCTTTTATTTTAACTCCTTCCGTTCCAGAACGCCTTAGGTACTTGAGAGTGAATAGAGTGAAAAGAGTGCGTGACCCGAACTCACCTTCAGAATCATATCGAACGCGACAGATAACACTCCGAATCTCTAAAAAAAAAAGCGAAAATGAACTCAGAGCAACCTGAGTTTCTACTCGAACTCACGGTTGGTGTGTATTTTACTCAATGCACTCGGTATGCCTCAATTGTGGTCTCGGAGTTCACTCTATTGTGTTCGGCTTGCAATACATTACGTACTCACTCTTTTCTGAGTTGGCCGGTGGAGATCAACGGGTATCTGTAGGAAAGTGTCAAATATGTCAAATGTCAATATTATGATTTATGATTAATCAGTTTTACACGTATTATTTCTTGTTTTGTTATACTCATTTCTTATTGAATTAAAATTGATATTTTACAGTCCATACACATATACAACGTGTATTCAAATGCAAACTACCACTTGGCGTCATTTTTCATCCCTCTTGTGTGTCTTGCGATAATAAAAAGAGTAAACTCTGCCTATGACGTCACGTACTCCGTGCACGAGAGTTCCAAGTTAAAACTTTCATTTGACACAAATTTCGTCGTAATATAAGAACTTAAAGTAATCGAAACGGATTGGGTAATACTTCTAATCACGTAGAGGTATTCAGTAGCACGTTTTCACTTCTTATGACTAATATACTCCTCTTTAGAAGGAGACCTTAAAATTGTTACACCGTTTTTACTGGACAATAGAGATTCCAACAACTTTGATTTGATTTTGCAATTATGAAAAAGAGGCGACATCTAGGAACTTCATCTTGTACGCCAGAGCAATAACTTGGTTTTAATTTTCGAATTTGACCTCGATAGTACGTTCTTTAAAGTTCTTTGCCAAAAATGTGTACGAATTCAGTTCAGTTAGTAACAAAGATTGTAGTACAGGTATAATAAGTTTACTAATATAATATATGATTTTTGGCAGAGACGCACCTGTTTCCGTATAATCACATTTGCTTATCTTTCAGAACTGTGATGTGCCTCTACTGACGAAAACGCCAGTGAAGCGCTAGTCCTACGTTTTTGTTAAATCTCGCAGGTTATTTTTCATTTTGTCATATTTTTCGAGCCCTAGACTTGGACTACATGTGCTGTTTCTTTTACCGTTATAGATATAAAGCTACCCGAAGTTTTGAGGCCTCCCGTATACAAATTGTATTCGAATGTGTTCGACGTTAACCTGTCCGAGGCGGAAAACGAGGACCTTAAGGTGTATCCGAGCCTGGCAGACTTTTTTGCCAGGTCGCTCAAACAAGGAGTGAGAGACGTGGACAGGCACAGCAGTCTTGTGGCGCCTTGTGACGGGACGGTCCTCCATTTCGGGACTGTCGATACTGAGCAAGTTGAACAAGTAAGTATTAAAAATAATCTTAAAGTAAATTTGAAGCTGTCCCACGTTTAAAATAGTAGATTATTGCTTATCTTCAATTCCAATGCTTATTTCAACAAATCGTGTAATATAGGCTGCTGGTATTGTTTTTTTAGTTAGAGTCAGTGGCACCCTAATCATAGGGCTATCCGGGTGATAGACTTTTGGGGATGCAATTTTGATGCACTCAAATCAGTTTGATGATTCCCAACAAACAATTTAAGTTGGTTAACTATTATGGAGGTGCTTAATCAGCTACAATCAGCCAATAGGTTGAATAGTAGAAGTCTAATTGCCTATATAAGCCTTTTCATTAGTCTAAATAGCTAAAAAAAGAAGAATACTCGTTTTCAACACAGCAAATCAGCATTCTTTTGTTTCATAAATTAGTAAAATATTTAGTTTTTTTATCAATTTTTTCCAACAACCTATTCAAATTTTTGTTCCTGCAAACACGCTATTAAACATTTTGTTTTGTTTCTTTATCTCCTTCTTGGATTCAAACATGACATCACTCGCTTTATCGATCCGCAAGTATGCACCTCAACCTACTAACCCTTCTAAAAACCTGTCAAATTATTTACATTATACGGTAACATAACGTTTTTAAATACTGTTCCCAATTTTCACGATTTTTCTTTAATTTACGGTAATATATTCATTTTATTTGTTTCTAATATTGCTCTTGCAACTGCTTATGTCTAAACGTCTGAAAGAGAGCAACGCTTAAACAAAATGGGACCACCAACATTTTAATATTTTTTCTAAATATGTGTCAATTAAATTCTGGGAATTTAGTTATAACTCGGGAACTGTCAAAACATATGTCTGTAAATAGGGGACCTTCCCTTAGTTCCAATCGAAGTTTGAAGTTGACAGCACGTTTGATTTGTGTTTATTTGTTTTTCGAAAGTAACTTTTTTAGTGGCATCGGAAAATGAGTGACTCACATTACAAGCAACGTGTTGTTTTCCAATTTTTAGTGAAATCTGGCGAAAAACCCTCGGAAATTCTCCGAAAATTGCAAATGGAGAAGAGTGCATGTCGAAAACGTGCGTGTTTGAATGGGTGAAGCGTTTTAAGGATGGGCGTGAATCGGTGGAGGACGATCTGCGTGAAGGAGCTCCCCTCACCTCTCGTATGTCGACCGTCTACGCGCGCTGATCACGTCTGACCGGCCCCTAAGCATTGACAGTTCTATGTTGACGTCCTGGAGCGGCTGCGGCCCACCATTCTCCGAGAACGGCCGGATCTTGCACTATGACAACGCATCGGGCCATTCCTCGTTCATTGTGTAAGAGTTTTTGGAGAAAATAAGCATTCTAACGTGGCCGCACCGACTATATAGCCCCGATATGGCCCCCTGCGACTTTATAATTCCCCAAGATGAAGTGGAACCTCAGGGGAACTCTTCATGGCAGAATCTAGGAGGTCAATGCAGCTGTAACCGCAGTGTTGAACGGGTTAACTTTGAAGTTGACAAGGGGGTAGCCATGTGTGAGTTGAGGTAATTTTAAGGTGAAGGGTGAGAAAAAGTCCTTTATATCTCCTTGTGAGATATAAAGGACTTTTTCTCACCCTTCACCTTAAAATTAACTTTGAAGGATTACCATGGATGCTTACAATCGTGGGAGCAACATTGGAATCGTTGTGCAGAGTGTTACTTTGCAATAAGTCGTTAATTTTGAATATACTTATAAAAAATGTTGACTAGCTCATAGAAATTTAACAATAAACAGTACTTACCTTTAATCAAATTTAAAAAAGGAATGAACACATTGACCATATGGTTTTCTCAATCGTAAATTCGGCTTTTCTAATAGACACTTTTGGGAAAATCGTTTTCAGGAAGAAAGGGCGCCATTATTACTTTTTGGTGTTTCGACCTCCACCTCTCTCAGAGCCTCTCGGAGAAGGTGCCCTGTCCGTCTGTCTAGGGTTCCAAGATAACGTGGAGGTCGGCAACATCAAGTTTATTTTGAATGTTAACCAGTGGTGGTCTGACATCGAAACATTTTCAGACACTTGAAACTTTAGAATTGATACCAGTTGTGGATAAAGTGATAACTAATAAATAGTGTTTGACTGCGAGAGTTTAAAAATTTTGTTTTAGTACCTTTATTTAAAATACACAGATTTTTGGTAATTATACCGGGTGTTCAAATTAACGTGTTACCGTCAAATACCGCCGAAAATATGCATTTTAGAAAAAAAAGTTTCAGACAAAAGTTTTATAGTTTTTTGGGGGAAACATTTTGGCTAAATTCATTTTTTTGTAGCTGACCATAATATGGCCATATCGAGGTAGACTTTGTTTTTTTAAATGGGAATCCCATTTTTTTCTTACATATTCTTAAAGTACATAAAAAAATAAGAAACTTTTGAGAAAAATATTTTTTTTATTGGACTTTTACTTTTTGAGTAACAGCTACTTGAAAATGTTGCTGCGCGAAAAAAAAGTTGGCCATATTATAGTTAGCTATAAAAAACGATTTTAGCCAAAAGTTTTTCCCTACAAAACTATAAAACTTTCGTCTGAAACGTTTTTTTTTATAAAAATCGGTATAGCTGTAACGCTTTAAGTTGAACACCCGGTATAATCAGAAAGTGACTTATCTCTAGCGTTGTTATCCTTACTGCCCCAAATGAAGTGTGTGTGGTTCAGGTTTTTGGGCTCTTTTCAAATATAATAAATATAAAAATATATTTTTAGATATATAGGGTGTGTTGTTTTAAGGATGGGTGAAATTATTTATATTTTGTAAAGACAGACCTGGATTTAATTTCTTTTTTATACCTTAGTAAAGTTACATATACTATGTCGGCAAAATTGATAAAGGGCGAAAGACCCAATAAGTATGAGTTATTTGGAAGCACATCAATGGCTTCCATTCACAGTTAACGTGTGTCCCTTTCCCAATGAAACACCCTGTATAAAGAAATATTATCTTTGTTTCTTCAGAGTAAATTTTATATACAGTACATTCATAAAGGGTGGAAATGCTCAGCTATCTTACGAGTTTATTATTTTCGGAGTTTAAATTGGACAGGTCGATTTTTTAATTTTCTACCTTTTCAAAAAAATAATCTTCCAAGATATGACGTCATCGATATTTTTTTTAAATTGATAGGGTATATTTTTATATCAAAAATTAACAGCCAATGTTTTTCAACCTTACCACATGTATGTTTACAGCCTGCCTACTTGAAGTTTGACTACTGATTAATTCCCAGATTTTCATTGGAAAATAAATAATGAAATAAATGCTAAGAAATATGAGAACCGGTGTCTTTTATACTCGGTATACTGCAACTTAAAGTATTATAACAAGTATGTGGTATGGTTGAATGTAAAATCTAAAAATTGTATAGTTATCTCCGTAGAAAACATGACTTAATAATTTCAGGTAAAAGGTGTGACTTATTCTCTAAGAGATTTTTTGGGCGAACAAATTGTAAGACCGAGAAAAGAATGTAGCAGCGATTTTAAGACTGCTTTATTAGAACGACCCCACGAAGGCAACAGGCTATATCAGTGCGTAATATACTTGGCACCTGGAGACTATCATAGGTAAGAATAATTAATTTTTAGTTATTACAAACCTGTAAAATCGCATAAATTATAGTATTCCATAATAATTATACTTTGAATGTTTTAAAATCTATTTTTATTTGAATTCGAGTCTGCCTTTTGTTGGGCGCCAAAAATATTGCGCCGATAACTATTCTTTTCTTTACTTAACATTGTATTAATGATCTCACACAAAGAACTTATTTCTTTATGTTACAATAATGTCTTCAAGCTTGTAACTTATCAATAAACTGTTTAGTACTATTAATAAATGTAATAAATAAACGTCAAGTGCTGCATATCCGGGTCATCTTGTAGTGTCTTGAAAGTTTATCTGGTTGGTTATAATATTTAAATGGATAAACATGTAAAAATTGATAAGATATTGTTTCATTTTATCTAAACCGATAAAAACACAGTGCGAATTGTAAATATTGTTTCCAACAATAGTTATCATCTTTTTGTACAGCTGATTTTAAATAATGAAAGAATTATATGCATTTATCAAATTCAAGGCAACATTAGAAATTGCCTATTTGAACGATAAATGTTTGTTTATGAAATGTTTTAGAAAATATAAATATTGAGATATTAGTTTGTTGCATTTTTTCATTTTTTGTTTAAACTCTAAAAATATATATGAAACTTTAGAATTTTTTGTGAGTATATTCAGAGACAATCCAGTGAGATGTGTAACTCAATGTATTTTTTTTTTGTTCGGTAAAAGTTGTTTGGGCGATTGTAACCACAACCAATCTATGATGGCGCCACTAGTACATAGCGGGAAAATTTAAAAATGCTTTAGGGCGGGATATTCAAACATGGATTCAGAAGTAAATACAAATTTACAGGAGAAACAAAAACTATTGTTTCACTGTATATTAAAAAATGTAAAAGCTTTTAATAACATCAAATTTTTTATCATATAAATAATCATTTTAATAAGGGAAGTTTTAATCAGTTTAATATAAGCAGTTAACATAGTTTTTATTACTCTTGTAAATTTCGCTAAAAAGCTTGAAAATTCTATTATTAGATATTTAAACTTTTCCTAGTCTCCTAATTTGGTGACTAGGTGGACCTTCTCCAACTAGTCGTCTAATCTATTCGATCTGCTCTGCAGCAGGAGGTACTTTTCAAACATAGCAAATAATATTAATAATAAACACTATTTAAAGATAAATACATTTTTGTAATTTATTTGTCATTGTCCCTTACCTGTCTCTTACACCACCAGGGTATACCTATTTTCCATACTCCCTTAAGTATAGATTACATTACGATGTTTGAATGAATATAACATTTTACCCATGAAAAATCTAATATCGAATTTAACTCTTTTTCAATTTCATTTGAAACAATTGGTATATTACAATTTATTATCAAGGAAATCTTCTAATAAAGTTATAGCAAATCATACTCAAACTACTGGTGGTTCTGCAGGATAAATTAACTTTTCCAATGCCTCCTGATTTAAATTTCTACCCTTTTGTGATTCAAATTTTTTTCTTCGTTTGCATGACTACAATCTTCTAATGGCCTATTAGAGGTAGGTGTATGTAAGAAATAGCCAATCCCTAATCATTTTAAAAGTCCTTTGCCAATACTACATGTGCAGAGATTTTTTACTCAGCATACTTTTTATTTCTTTTCTAGTAGGTGGAAACTTTGTGTTGCCATTAAAGCTGTCGAGACATCTACCTACTTACTGAACAAAGTAGCTGTAACAATGGATCTCTGTTCCAATTCACCTAAAATAATAATAGCCATTTTGTAATATATTATTAAACATAGACATTATACAGTGGTTTTCTTAATAAATTGGAAATTACTTATCTCTAGAAAGAAACTTGTACAAAAACGCGAGTTTGGTTCCAGAAACTGCTTCATGCAAAAAATAATATGCGAAAATAAACACTCCCCACCCCAAAAAAATTATTTAAACAACAAAATCAGACTCAAAGTAATAAACGAAGCCCAAATTAAATTAATGTTAATAAAATGCACACGTTCATAACAACATTCATAACATTGTCAGTTCTAATCTATACGTCACACGTCGACGTCAAAAAACCAGCAACATCAGCGACCTCTATGACTGGTGTTAGTTTTATTGGAGAGAGATAAATATATGTAAAGATCAATGTAAAAGAGAAAGAATGTCATATATGTAATTTAAATGGACCACCGAACAAATTTTCCTATTAAGTTACACGTCTCTGGTATAGAGTTACTTTATAGTTTGCAATTTTGACTATTCGTATTGCACTAACATCCTGTCAATCAGCTGTTTTGCAGTTTTCTTATCAAGGATATACCATTACCGATTCTACTTTCTAACCTAGCAAAGATAAATCTGGCAACGCGGCGATTAAGTCTATTTTCGGTACATTTCACTGATTTTTAGTACACTCTTCATTGCGTTCGGTCTGCCAAGTTCCTTTAACTCCTTTAACACTTTTAACTCCAAACGACCCTTTTAGCGTTCGGTTTAGTCCGATTAGTGACAGTTTAACACGCTTAAATGTCATTTAAAAGCACCCTAAAATTTGTCCCGCTCCAGCCCCTGACTATCCGAACTCGCCTCTTGTAGCATTATCGTGTTGTTTTGCATGTTATTTATTTATTTTTTTTTTTTTTCGAAAAACATTCAGATTAAGTAAAATTGAAAATTTTTTCTTTAATTAGTTGTTAAAAGTGTGTATGAACATAGAGCCGAAAGTTTGTGAATTTTTTTTTTGTGATAAACCCCATGGTTTTTTAACCCAACTTTTAATCATTTGATTAAAATAAGTGTTAAAAAGTGTCTGATGACCCGTTGTGGCCCAGTGGATAATATCTTTAATAATTATGCCTAGTACCCGCTGTATTTCTAGCTGTAAGTACAATTATAATAGTGTTTTAAAAGAATAACAAAGAGAAAACTATGTTTTTCAATACTTTGAAGCGTGTAGACTTGATGATTTCACTCCCTGCGCTGTTGCCTTTGTATGTTCATGGCTACAAGTACAATCGGTAATGGATGGACGTTTTATTTAATTATTATATATATTGGCGAACTTTTGCAATTAATTACAAAGTGTAATCCAGACACCAATTTCTCTTGCGCTCAATAGAAATTGTAGCGATTTTACTTGCAGCAAAAAAATTTGCGATAACTGTAAAGTGGCTCTTAATATTTATTTACCATTTTTATACTTTACTTTATAGTTGTAAGTATTTTTGTTCATACTATTTGGAATTATTTCTTTCACTTATTTATAATTATAAAACAATTTAAACGTCAATAAATGAAATTATCCCTAGTTAAATTTATTTAACTCGAAAATAATTTTTTAAAAAACAAAAATTTACTTTTTAAAAATTTAAGACTTTATTTGACGTTTACTCTACAACAATCTAAACTGGAATGAATTTTAATAATGTATTTTACATGATAATGATAAATGCAAAGTTAACAGTTTACGGTTTTATATTTTAATAGAATCAACGTTTCTTCTTATATAACTCCCTTTATGAAATTGTACCTAACCAATGTTTTAAGGTTTCATTCTCCAGTCGAGTGGACTCCAACACATCGTAGACATTTTTCAGGAAAACTTTTGTCTGTGAATCCTAGCATCGCAAGCTGGTTGCCCGGACTATTTGCAATGAATGAAAGAGCTGTATATCTCGGACAATGGGAGCACGGATTCTTTTCATACACAGCTGTCGGTAAGATAACAATTGTTTATTACATTTTCACCAGTCAATACACAGACAGCTACTTTTACTGTTATCATCATAGTTCTAATCAATGGTCACATATCGCAATCATTTTATAAATAATTGATAAATTGAATACGTTTTGTTTCACAGAGGTAAGGGCGGCTACAAGAAGAATTTTCGGGGGGGGGACATTTCCTTTAGCCATTCGCTTTTTAGCATATTTTTTTAATAAAAGGCCCATAAATCGTAAGAATTTTCATCTCGGGGGGCCATAGCCTCTCTGGAGCTGTCTTTGCAGAGGGGGCGATTAAATTGATACTTTTAAAATACTTAAGGGGTGTTACATTTTTGCTTCATAAAGTCTAATTATTATTTCTTTTCAGGTGCTACAAATGTAGGAACAGTAAAAGTATACTTTGACAAAACCCTACAAACGAACAAACCATTCAAAGGTAGGAAATACAAAGAATTGTGCTTGGGTAACCAGGTGAATCTCAAGAGGGGCGAGATTATGGGCGAATTCCGAATGGGCTCGACGATAGTTCTAATTTTCGAAGCGCCGGAAACTTTCAAATTTGCCATCGTACCTGGAAAGAAAGTGAAAATGGGACAAAGTTTGGGCAATGTAGCGCAAAATTTTGTTCACACGTTAGCGCGAGAGCGAATGGGTACTAGCAATGGTAGATGACTTAATTTATTTTTTGTAAATACATTGTATTAAATGATTGTGATATTTTATAATAAAATACGAAAAGCACTTAATTTATTCGTTTTATTTAAATTTGTACTCTATATTGCATGTGGTGTCCGGTACCAGTGCTTAATCAAAGTTCGACAGCAAAAAAATTATACCGTTTTTTGACTGAAAAAGATCTCTACGATTTTTGCGTGTAGTGAACAATTTTTTAATTTCATTAACCCTATTAAGGTGCCCACAGACTAGCATACATGTGTATCATTCACGTTTGACATACATTAATGACAATAGGGTTTTACCAGAGATAACAGGAGATATAGCTAGCTATTCATTGATAAAATACATTTGTGACGCCACCATCGATACCACAGTCGATCTGGTCCAGTTTAGTGATGGGAGTACTCGAGTACAGGAATCGGATAATACCCGATTCCTAAAGGAATCGGTAGTATTCGAATACTGACGACCCGAATCGGAATCGATTCCGATTTTTAAATATTAGACGATACTGCTGCGAATCGCGATCCGTCTTGTATCGCTGCTCACCGCTGACGTGCTGACTGAAACGGAATTAAAATATGGGGTCGGGTTCGAGACGCTGGAATAGCTGATAATTGGATCGGTGTCTGTGATCGTCGTTATACTCGGTTGATGCAAGTACTCGGTATTCAATAAAATACCCGATTCCGTGAAGTACTCGAACCCTCAGTACTCGATTCTCGAAAGTATCCGATTCTTCCTATCACTAGTCCAGTTGTAAATCAGGGGTGAAGAGACATGTGGTGACAGGTAAGATAAGTGATAAACTAAAGGATTTTACGGCCCTACAAAACAATTTTATCAATGAATATGTGTAAGCGTTTGTACGCCGATAATAAACAATGTACACGATGCCAAGCCCTGTTGCCACATCTAGTACAAAATACTTGACATGTATATAAAGCCAATGAAGATGATTATCGCCCCTCTCTGTGTATTGATGTCCCTATTAAAATTAAGAGTTAAGATCTTACATCCTTCATGTCCTGTATTATATTTGCTACTTCTTTCTGTTGAACAAATGGTAGTCTTCTAGGTGCTTGTCTTATCGGCCTTCCATCGCCTGTATACATTCTATGCTGGACAAGACTGGTTTCCTGTTTCGAAAATGTCACAGTTGGTATTGATAAATTCTTTGACTTTTCTTAGTTCTTCACCTGTCAGATGGTCATAATTTTTAACTAGCTGTTTCTCAAAGCAGGTATCAACTGAATTACTTGTGCTCTCATTTTAGCTGTTTCGTTGCATATTTTGTAGAATGTTCAAGATTTGTGAGAGGATAGCTTGGGGGATAGTATTATTAGTGGCTTCTTCATTTTCCAGGAATCTAAGTTCTCTCAATTTTGCGCGGAAGGATCTAGATATGATTTTTGCTGCTTCGTATTCCTGGGCTGCAATCAGTGTCTCACTCAGCGTTTTGTGGTGTTGTAGCCGAAGAGCCTGCTGTATTTCAACATCCTGTAGTCCACCAATGAATGCTGGTATGCCGATTTGTTCTAGGAAATCACTGGGCGCCTGTGGATAGGCCAGATGCAGCAATCTTTTTATATCGGCCTCGAATTCCTGTAGACTCTCTTTGTGTTTCTGTCTACGAACTTTTAGTTGGCTTTGGAATACCTGTTTCAAATCCTATTGGCCATTAGAATAGATTAGATTGGGAGTTGGACGTTATTTGTCCTTGTCCACCGCGAGCTTTTTAGATCTATTGTGGGACTACGTTTGTTTTAGAGTATGTCGTCTAGCTTGGTCTTTTTATTAGACAGTAGCTTTGACAGTGGCTCCTGCATGTACTTCCATGCATTTGGCTTTTCTTTGCCCAATGTTAGAAACCTCATTCTAGCCAGGCCTTCACATTGGCACAGGACGTGGAATGATATTTCCTCTTCTTCACATAACCTGCACAAAGTTACTTCTTCTGCTGTATTGATGTACCTTTTAAGGCGACAGTGTTTGATAAGAAGACCTACTGTTATCCTAACGATTTGACGCTTTTGATCCAATATAGGTCTTTCGTGAACTTGGTTCCTTGATGAACTGTTTGGCCAGTCTCAGTCTTGGATAGTTGTTCCACCATTCCTGAGACTCTTTTTGCATCCATTGTTTAATGGATGCCTTGCACAATGTCGTAGCAACTCCACAGAAGAGTTCGGGGCCTGTCATGGCCTTATCTGAGCCTTCTCGGGCTAATTCGTCGGCCTTTTTGTTGCCCCGATATCCATCATGGCCTGGCACCCGGGCTAGCGTCATCTCGTGGACTACTCTGCCAGGTCTTCTAAACGTCGGCAAACTCATTAGTCAACAGAGCCAAATAGCAACAGCAGAACGACTGATTTTCTTTTGAGAGCCAAAGCTTTTAAAATGAATTTATATGCGTGTACATTGTTAAGGTACTGCCAAGTTGGCCTTTGCCAAAAACGTCCTCAATCTAATTAAAGTACGTGTGCTGAGGTCGAGCCTTTCCAACTCTCTCATCTACACTCGTCTTGTAAACTTGTTTCATCTATGCTGTTATCATTCATCTTCTTTATACAGATTAGGAGAAAATTATACGAGCCATAGGCTATAGGTACTGTGAGTGAACATTCATATCTCTATATTTTGTGTATAACGATTATCACCTTTCCTGTAACCTGCAAGGGTCTTTCACTCCATATTGCTTTCTTAAAATTAACTTAATAAACTTTAAACTTTTAAGATGAAACAGATTTTTTACAATTATTCTGCGGGGATACGCACTCAGAAGAAATATATTGTACGATACACGTTGATATTTTATCTCCTTTTTAAAGTTTTAAGTCAGAGTACTCGCCTAAAGATAAAGACACATAAACACGTTGATATTTTATCTGCTTTTTTTAAGTTTTAAGTCAGAGTACTCGTGTAAAGATAAAGACACATAAACACCAACTAAGTTTGAAAAAATAGAAATAAGAATAGCAGCCATCACGAAGTTTAATTCGTACTGTATGTGTGAGCCCGTACGTTGTAGTTTGGGGAAGAGCCACACTCAATGGGCCAAATAGCCGCATGTGGCTCGCGAGCCGCGGTTTGCCGACTCCTGTTCTAGACAGTCTTTCACCAGTCGTGATTTGATTTCTGGTGAGAGAATTGCCTTTAGAGTTTGCTTGGCTATCATAGTATATAGCAATAGTTTTGCCTGGTATTTGCTGATTTAGTCGTATTTCTCTTGCACAGTGTTGTATGGCTATTAGTTCAACCTGGAACACTGTTGCACATTTTCCTAAACTCAGTGAAATCGTTGTTTTCGACTTGGGTCCAGATTCCAGCACCCGCTCCTTCCTTGGTTTTTGAACCGTCTGTGTACAAGTTGAGTTCATCCTATACGGGAGGTCCCTGTTTCCAGGATTCTCGGGCTGGTATTTGGATTTGAAAATTTCTTTCAAATTTGTATGTATTATGGCTCTATCAGTAGGCATAGCTAGAATATTATCCGTTTTTACTTGCTGATAAAGCCTAGTGTGGTCGGCGCTATGTAGTTGGCTCATTGGGTTTTGTCCCTGCATTAGTCTGTGAATAGCTGACCTGGTTTCTCCTTGTATGAAGATGTGCAGTGGCGTGATATTTAATAATACCTCCATTGCTGCAGTTAGCGTAGTGCGCATTGTCCCAATATCACTTAGACAGGCGAGCCGCTGAATTCCAGTGAGTTGGCCTATTGCACTTGCTTGCGCAGTTTTGGTTACCCACGCCACAGCGCCATAGGTTATCATGGGTCTTATCGCCCTTGTATCATATATATGGTCATTTTGGGGTTTAGACTCCAGTTTTTCCCATATATTCTTCAACAGCTTACGAGAGCTATTGTAGCTTTGTGTGTGAGTTTTTTTGAGATGTTGATTCCACGTGTCAGCCTTTGGTCAAATATGACTCCGAGGTATTTGGCTTCTGTGACGAATGGGATAACTGAGTTGTTTAGTACTAGAGTGGTTTTAGACGTGTAAGTACTCGTTTTTTGTGAATGGTACAAGTGTTGTTTTTTGTGCGTTAATGGACAATTGTTCCTTTTTGCACCAGTTGTTCACTATGTTTAGAGCTGTTCTGGCCATACCTTGTCTCCAAAGCTGGGATGAAAGACGAATAACTGGGTTTTCTTGAATTTGTAACAAGCCATTTATAATTTTCACCTCTGCTTTTCCTTCCTACGCCTTTCCTTTTTCTCTTCTTCCTTCCTACGCCTTTCCTTTTCCTCTTATTCCTCCTTCCAGTGCCTTTTCATTTCATTTTATCCCTCTTTCCTGCGCCATTTCATAATTCATCTTCCTCCTTTCTCCAAGTAATTACATACTGGCTTTTCTTCGCCTAGTTTTAGAAACCTCAATCTAGCCTGCTTGCCTTCTCAGTGATGGCACAGGTCGTGAATTGATGTTTTTTCTTCTTCCTTTCAGAATCGGTACAACGTGGCCTGTCTGGATAGTCGTTCCACCATGATAAATGAATAAAGTGGCCATATCCGTCTTTTTAAAGCACCAGTCCTGATTTTGTCCCGCTTCTGCCCGACGAAAAAAATTTATATTTAATTTAAGCCGCCTAAATTTTGTTTACAACAACACACACACCATTAAAGATTTCCTTTTTTTCTCTCTCTTCAATAGAATTCGTCGAAAAACTCTACATTTTCGATTTGTTCCGCTTTCTACTTTTCAAAATGTGGTCACTTTATCAGAATGCCTTACCAACTCCAGAGAAGGGTTCCGGGCCTGTCATTGCCTTATCTGAGCCTTTTCAAGCTAATACATCGGCCTTTTCATTACCTTTTGATCTCCTTCGTAGCCTGGCCACCTCTATATTACCGAGACAAGCTGACAAATTTTGTCGTTACCAATAATGTTGTATATACAAAGAAAAGATAATGTATAGCACTGTATCTTTCCTCCATGCTAACCATAGTGAAAAAAAGTCTGATCAATCCGAAAATTTCTTGGGAAGCCCTGCAATAGCTTTTTGCTGTAGCTTTTTGTTTTGATAATTGAACTACTCGTAGATAAATAATGATATACTAACAAAAAAGAAGAATGAGGTTATGAAAATGTAAATACAAATTTGAATATCCTCGGTTCGGTTGTTTTATTTTATTTTAGTTTTGTAGTTTTATTGTAGGATAGATATGAGTCCCCTTAAAGATTTATTAAAAAATGGTAACTCAATTTTAAACCCATCAGCATTATTAGAAGATTGCGATATAGTTAGAAAGACAACAAAAGCAACCACTAAAAAAACATCTATATATTTTCAAAAAAGTTCAAGTGGCGTTACATCTTTGAATTCCGAAAACTCTAAAATTGAATCCAATGATTCAATTCGTAATCAAGAACTTGCTTTAAATAAACGTCAGATTGAGAGTAGTTCATCAATAGGTCAAGCTGGGAAAAAAATTAAAATGGATCAAGATTCTGTTTTAAATGAACAAACTGAATCAGAAAATTCTAATGAAATATTTCAAAACATAACTAATATTTTGAGAAAAGACCAATCACCTGATATTTTTGATGAGAAAGATGAATTTGACGCTTTTGCTAATTATCTAGGTCAAATGTGTACTCCAAAGAATACTAAACACCAGAAGGCGTTATTGGATAAAAATACAAGCACTTGTAAAGTAAAAAATAAAGATGGGGATAATTTATTTTCCACCCAATTTCTTAGTACTCAAGATTTAGATGAAATTGATACTGTTGTTGAAAAGGAAATTGCTCCCACTGCAGTAGAAATGCAAAAAACCATTGGTGTTGATGCAATAATGAAGTGTTTTCAAGATAGATTAGAAGCTAAAGAATTCATACAAGAATCAAGTATGGATAGGGAAATTGGTGAAAGATCTATATTATTTGAAAATGAAAAAGTTACTACTAGTTATCGTCACGAAGTTAACCAAATATTTGAAAAAATTGAAACTTCGATATGTGCAATGGGAGGAGACAACACTGTTATTGATTTTGATGATAAATATTTTGATTTAATATTTAATGATGATATGGAAAATGTAGTAGAAACTAAAGAAAATAGTCCAAGTAAAGATACAGATATCCAAAATATAGAACTAAATAATATAAATTTGAGTTTTGGGACTATAATCAGGAAGGCTTTAATTAAAAATTCCACCAAAACACAATTAAAAAGAAAAAATAACATTGAAGCATTAAATTTAACTATACAAGAACAAACTATTGAATTTAGAAATTTAGGACCATTTTATGGATTGCCTTTAAAAGTAAAACACCTGGTGCAACAGTATAAAGGAATAGATGAACTTTATGGTAAATATCAGTAAAAGTTTATAAATGTGAACAATATTTTGTTAATCATTTTTTAGATTGGCAAGATGAATGTTTAAAATTGCCTGCCATTGAAAATAAGAAAAATTTGATATATGCTTTACCTACAAGTGGTGGCAAGACATTAGTAGCAGAAATACTCATGTTTAGAGAACTATTATGTTACAGAAGGAATGCCATATTTATTTTGCCATATGTATCAATTGTTCAAGAAAAAGTAATTAATATACACTTCCAAATGTCTGGTACAATGAGGGCTACACTGCCGTCCTAACAAGAAAGGTCTTATCTGCAAAATTAGCAGTTTTTTCCATCTTTTTGCATTTGCCTACATTTTGTCTTTCTTGATACCAAAACGGAATGTCCTATTTGCGTCATAAAGGTACTAAATCGAGTTTCACAAGAGATGAAAAATAGTTAAAAACTTGATTATTTCTGAACAACAAATGTTCAGATAGGACCTTTCTTGCTAGGATAGCAGTACAAAGAATGCATTAGGAAAATAAAGACATTCAATAACAATTTGTCACTTCATAGATTTGTTTTTTTACCTGTAAATACAAAAATAACTATAAATCAATTTTATACAGATTTGAAAATATTTTCGAGATGTACTTCATTTAATAATTATTATCTTATAACAATAGTCAAAGTATAATTGTATCTTTTTTTTACATGACATTATTTTATAGGTTTGGGCCATATCACCGTTTGGTGTAGCTCTGGATTTCCTAGTAGAAGAATATGCCTCAAATAAGGGTGTATATCCACCAAGAAAGCGTAGAAGAAAAAACTCAATATATGTTGCTACAATTGAAAAGGCTTTAGGACTCATTAATAGTCTTATAGAGGCAGGAAGGTTACATGAGCTTGGCCTTATAGTCGTAGATGAATTTCATTTAATAGGTGAAGAAGGCAGAGGTGCTACTTTAGAAGCAGCTTTAACAAAAATTAAGTTTCTCAAAGGTAATAATATCATTTACATTGTTAATTTTCATCAGGGGTGGAATTATCTTTTCTATTTTAAATGCACCTACTGCATAGGCAATGATGCTTTATTTTCTGTGCTATGCTTACATATAATAGAAGATTTTTACATTATACAAATTACAGATCATTCTATTTGCGATTTAAGTATATGTTTCAAAACATTTTAGCGAAAATTCAAATAATTGGAATGAGTGCTACAATAGGAAATTTACCAGATTTGTGTCAATATCTGGACGCTGAGGCATATACAAAAAATTTTAGACCAGTGGAATTAATAGAGCATGTCAAATGTAAAAATAACATAGCGAAAATCAATTGGAATTACAAAGATGAGGAAGATTTGTTAGTAGATTACAAAAAAGTTAATTTTAAGGTATAATAAAATTATTTAAAAAAAGTAATGAAAAATAATAAATATTTATTTATTAGTATTCAGAGTCGATTTTAAAACTCGATCCAGATATGGTGGGCGGTCTAGTCATGGAAGTTATACCAGAAGCTTCTTGTCTAATATTTTGTGCATCGAAAAAAAATTGCGAAAATGTTACAAATTTGTTGTGTCAAATATCAAAACCGTAAGTAAACTGTTTTGTACAAAAGCGTAGAAGGGCAACAAAATATATATTTTTATTTTTCCTACTTAAAACTTGGAAAAAAATTGACATTTCTGACTAACTCAAAATAATAGATTATTCGTTTGTTTTCGTTTTACAAAAAAATGTTTTAACATATTACCAGAAAATTTATATAAAAAAGTCATTTAAAAAGAAGTAGTGATAACTTTGGCTTTAAACAGACAAATACAGGGTGTTTTGGTTTTGGATGTTCTTTAAACAAACATATTATAATCTATTTTTTTAATTGTTCTGGATTATAAAATAATGTTAAAGGAAGACATAACATGACCAGCTATAAAAGAGCATTTTTTTCCTACATGTAATTAATATATGTCACAGTGATGGAGAGTTCTGTTTGATAACTCAACATATACACAACTAGTGATATAATGATATCACTTTTTTTGCCGATACGATATATCGGCCGATACGGATATTTACGTGCCGAGATATCGTATCGGCAAACATATTTATACATGACCAAAGAAAAAACCGGGAAGTCCCGTTTTATAATTTCGTTGCGAGGAAACGTTTGTGATTGGTAGTGAGTGACATCTGTATGTTGCCACATTTTTAGACCCTAGGTTTAAAATACATTTTTTTTCCAAAAGATACTAAAGAACAAATATCTCATATTAAAAATATAATAAAATGGCAATATACAGTAGCTGAAGTGGATCCGGAATCTTTGGAAGATGAAAATAATATTCCCTTAAGCCATTTACAAAATAAGCAAAATACATTTTGGGAAACTTTTGACAGCATTGTCTCTACTTCGGCTTCCAAGACCAGTACTACAATAAACATGAAACAAGGATGTGAAAATGAATTATATTTGGCATCTTCAACTCTATTAAAAGATAAATCTCCTTTTGAGTAGTGGGAGACAGAAAAAAAGAAATTTCCCAGTTTGTACAACGCAGCTTCAGTCTACCTTTCAGCACCCGCTGGCAGTGTGTCAACTGAACAACTTTTTAGTGAATTAGGTCATATTTACGAGCCTAAAAGAAATAGACTAAATGCAGATAGGGCTGAAATGTTGGTGTTTTTGCATCCTAACCTAATATCAATAAATTAAATTTTAAGTAATTAGTACCTGCTACATTAGGTATATTTGTTATTAGTAGTGTTAGGATTTGTTTTACTTTTTTAGTAAAAATGTTACATTTAGAATAAAAAAATTATTTTGTTTAATAAAGTATTTCATTTATGCACTGAAAAGAGTGAAAAGCGCATTTTTTTTGCCGATATATCGGCAATTACCGATATCAATATCGGTATCGTTCTATCCCTACATATAACCAAACTTATATGGAATCATCTATTATTTTTTATAATTTTTGAGATGTTTGAACATTTTTTGTTTATGAATAACACTGAGTCCTTATCAAAGACTTTTAATGACAAATAACCCACATGGCAATAAAAATAAACACAATGTTATTTTTTTGGTTTCTGAAACGAAATGAGATTTAAATTTTTAATAGCCGAAAAGCAAAAACAAAAAGAAAATTGGTAATTTTAACAATCCGTGGTACCACCTCTAACCCTTATGCAAGCTTCTATTCGCCTTGACATGCTTCTTATTAAATTGTCAACATTGTTTTGAGGTATGTTTCCACATTCTGCCAATGCTGCATCAATAAGCTGTGCGACTTTTCCTGCACTGTTTCGATGAGCTCTAACCCTTCTTTTGAGCTGGTTCCACAAGTGTTCAGTCTAAAACTGTGACACTTTTCGTTTCAAGACATTCTCTAGCCACTCTGCTGGTACGGGAAGGTGCATTATCGTACATAAAGATAAAATTATCACAAATTGCAGCTCTCCAAAGCCTAACGATTGGTTCTAGCACTAAATCAACATACCTCGGACCGGTTAAAGTGTGTCGAAGTGGTAACAAAGGAGTTTTTGCTCCCAGCATAATACCTCTCCAGAACACTACAGTTCGTCCTTGATATCTTGGAACAGATCTGGCAGCGTGGAGTCTCGCTCAACTTCCTGGAGCTCTGTTATCCAGAATTCGATAGTCATCTGTTTTTAGTCTAAATCTGGCCTAATCCAAAAAAGAACATTTTGCCAATTCTCAATTGTCCAGTTTTTGTGTTGAAGACACCAATTTAGCCAGTCAATTTTATTTTGCCTAGATAAGGGTTGGACCCGTAACTATCTCCTACTGTACAACCCTCGAGCGCAAAGTCTTTTTCTTAGGGTTTCAAATGAAATGTTCACACCTGTAGCTTCCAGAAGTTGTCATTGTAACTCTGAATAAGAAACACTGGGCTTTCTTCTAGCAATTTGGCACACAAAGCGGTCCTGTTGTTCAGTTGTGATTCTTTGACGACTTTGTCTGGGCCTGTTCTTGGCAGTTTCTAGTTCCAAGTACCTTTTATATGTTTTCGATACATCGCCTACTACCGCTACTGTCTCATTGGGACATTCCAAGTTCAATGAGAGCAATAATTATTCCCCTCTTCACATCTGTTAGTCCAACATAAGACATTTTGTTGTTTTTTGGACCGAAATAAATTACCGGAGGATCGTGGTTTTACTTCTGAACACAAAATTCACAAGATAATAAATTGTAGTAGTCGTTTCTTCTTTATTATCATGTTTGTTTTGAACAAAAAGCCTTATTTTAAAGTTGGATACCAAATTTTTTCCTTACAAAATGTTTATTAAGAAATATACAGTGTTTCCATATAAGTTTGGTTGTGGTATATTATAGGTTTTATTGAAAATTTTAAATTGTACTACCGTATACTTTTTTTACGCAAAGTGGGCAACAGTTATAAAAAAGTGAGGAAAAACAGTAACAACCTAATTTTCTGAGTTACGAGTTAGAAAAATCGATTTTTAAGTCGGAAAAATAAATATATATTGTGGCGACCCTTTACCCTTCCCTGCTTTTAGATTTTATTGTTTATATTATTATTATTTGTAGAATAAACATTTAACTTTTTTAAGGGAATTGAAAAATTACAAGAACACTGAAAAGGAACAACTATTACATGCATTGAAAGATGAGAGTGGGAAATTATGTGATATTTTAAATAATTCCATTAAATATGGCATAGCCTATCATCATTCAGGTAATCTTTAGACACTAATGATTCGCTTACCGCATTTATTGAATTATATCCATTAAATAATAATGCGAAAAGGATCTAATTTAAAAACTTTCCTCTCTGTATAATTGTTTAGTATATTTGAATTGTAGGTTTGACTAGTGATGAAAGGCGAATAATTGAGGAGGGTTTCCGAGCTGGTATTATCTACATAATATGTTGTACATCAACCCTTGCGGCAGGTGTCAATTTACCCGCTAAAAGAGTAATTTTGAGATCACCATACATCGGAAGAGATTTTATTAATCTATCCCGGTACAAACAAATGGTCGGTAGAGCAGGAAGAGCGGGTTTAGGTGAAACGGGAGAAAGTATTTTAATAGCACAACCTCAAGACATGCCTAAAGTTATACAACTTTTGATGTCGCCAATGAATAAGGCTTTCTCTAGCATGCATAGTTGCGAAGGAAAAGGGTTAAGGTTGGCTAATACGACATTCTTTTATCTCTGTATCGTTTTTTTTTGTGACAATATTTTGATTTTCGTTTCAGGCATTTTCTTCTCAGCTGTATAAGTTTAGGTATAGCGAACACCAGGCTGCAGCTGCGACATGTAGCTGAGCAAACTCTGCTGGCCGTTCAGAAAGAACAACTTGAAGTTGATGTAAAAAAATTGACTGATAAAGTTATTAAAAATTTATTTAAATTAGGCGCCTTGAAGGAATCTTGTGCTAAGTCTAAAGATGAGACTGATTCTTGTGACGTTACTGTTAAAATGGACGTAAGTTTTATATATATTATGGTGTAATTCCTGATTAATTTGTTTAAACATTTTAATGACTTATAAATATATTCTTTATTTGCTATTTTTTTAGACATCTGTTCAAGAATCCTCAGAAAATGTAAATACAACTATAAGTAAGAAAAAGAAAGTAATTGTCTTAAAGGATAATACCAAACTAGTTGTTAGTGACCTAGGATTTGCTGCAATCAAAGGTAAGCAAAATAAATATTTTTTTATCACTACCGGTACATAAGAACATGTTAAATGTCAGAAATAATGTCCGACTGAAGGTCATTTTTTGGCCGAAGCCGATTAGTCGGCTCTTGACATAACTTTCGGCCTAAAACGAAGGTTTATTAAGACTTACAAATTTCAGAATATTACTCGGTTAAACTAAAACGTCTTTACCTCGTGATGTCGGCGGTGGGAAGTCGGCATCATTCGTAATATTTCTTTCGTTTATTTTAGGCGCTGGCCGGCTGGACACAAACATTCGGCTTCGGCCAAAAACCTTCGGTTGGTTTTGGCCGAAACCGAATCTGCTTTTTTGGCCGAAGCTTCGGTCGGACTTTAGTCAAAAATCTATAGTCTGGGGATTTTTAAACTGAGGGCAACGCTCATTTCAGCCATTTTTTTCGCAGAATTTGAGCGGCAATACATTTCAGTTTGTCGCTATATTCTGCACAAACGTTGTGTAAGCAAGGAAAATTGTAAAATGGCTCTAGCAAATGTAGATTTATATTTGTGTAAATACGGAGCTCAATAATTTTCGTTTAACAACTGTTATTAAGAAACATAAATTTTAGGTGGCTTGGAACTTTCCAGAGCCCATTTCTTATATGAAGACCTTTGCGAAGCTCAAACTTGCCTTGTTTTGCAAGGCCACTTACATTTGCTCTATCTAGTTACTCCCTATGATATTGCCGAACAAATAAAACCAAATAAACAAGTTTATTATGATGTGGTAAGTGTATTTCTCTATTCTAATGAGCGCTATATGCAGTACTTATTTATAAGTTATCACATTATTTGTTTTTTTAGTTTATTAAATTAAAACCCAACGAACTGAAGGTTGCCAAAACTTTAGGGCTGAATGAATCCGTTGCAATGAAACTGTTTTTTTCAAATAACCATATAAAGGTACTGTTCCGGAAGTGGTTCGAAATATTTTAAATCGAATAATAATTCAATATTTTAGACTGTACCCGAACGAGTGATAAATAGATTTTATTTAACATTGATGCTTCACGATTTGTGGAACGAAATGCCCGTATTTGAGGTTGCGGAAAAATATCAGGTCAGTAAATTTACAATTTACCAACGGTTCTTTCTTAAGGGAGTGAATTATAGGGAGAGTGTAATTGAATCGGTCATTTGAGAAACGACACATGTCACATATTTGGCCATTTTGTTTTTATTACAAAAATACAATATTTAAAGGTAAATTATAATTATTGAATTATACTCAAAATAGAGCAAGTTTTAAACGCTAAGTGTACAAAACTATTTTTTAACCATGTTTTGAGATTTTCACTTTATCTTATTTTTTGAAAAATTATCTACAACTGACATGTGCTGTTTCTCAAATGACCAATTCAATTATTATTCGAACTCATTATTAATTCCATATTCTCATTACGTACGTACATTTTTTAAATTAGATTAACCGAGGAATCGTACAGAATCTAATGACAACGGCAGCAACATTTGCGACAAACGTGGTGAATTTTTGCGAAGAACTTGAGGAATTTTGGGCATATGCCTATCTATTAAAAGGAATGAGCAAAAGATTGTCACATTGTTGCGTGAAAGAACTGGCATCTCTCATGGAGCTACCGGCAGTCAAGCAGGTAAAGTGAATACACACATTTTTTGATGGATTTGATATTATTATGGAAATTATATTTATATTTCAAACGGACAGCTTGGCTTCCGCAATAAAAACTCCACTTAAGTTGCTATTCTTACCCTTATCTATGATATATTCCTCACTAAATGACTCAAACCAACTCTTATTCAATTCTCTTGGAGACATAGGGATAAGAATAACGACGAAAAACTGCTAGACTAAAAGATTCATTTATAATTAATCATTTATTACAATCATTCAGGTTGCTAATTTGAGTGGAGATGATTTGTGCAAATTTGTTTATCCCATACAGCACAAAAACGTCCCAGAAATATTTCTGAAATGTAAAAATGTCCTGTAAATATGATATTTCACAGTAATATTTCTGAAATAAAAATTTGACGTCTTTCAGAAATATTACATAATAATATTTTAGAAATGTACTCTAGTTTTGTTTAATAAATATCATGAAACGTTGTAGAAATGTTTCCAAAATATTATTAGACTAAAAATATACTTTTTTTTTAAATACACAAACATTGATTCTGAAACAAACAAACAAACAAACAAATAAATAATATTTCATAAAATATAAAGACGAATCGCTTCATTTTCACCAATTCCTTTAAATGCATTAATCTAAAACAAATTATAGGTACTTAAAAAAGTATTTGATACAAATTATTTGGTTAATAATAGTTTTTAAGCAAAACATAAAGTAACCGAAATTAGTCGTCCCATTTATCAACCTTTCGTGTGGTAACTGTTTTAGAGTTTTCTTTTCTTAATCCTCGTTCAATTGTTTATGGTGTTCCACAATGTACCGTATTAGGTTAGGGTGCACACTTTTCAATATTTCAAAAACTGTTGAAAAAGCCATTAACTCACCAAGAGAAAAAATTAATTTTAGAACGTTTACATTATAGACTATTTAACAGCTGTAACACATCTTTATATTTCCATTTTTAGTATTATTATATTTATGATTTCAGGATAATTATTATTATTACTTTTATACACTGCACTGCAAAATTAACCGGACACTAAGTGTATTTTGAATAAAATTAAAAAGTATTTAAAAAACTTAAATTCCAATAATTTTTTTTTTGTATATTCTATAACGAACCCTAAAATAAAATACAAGTTCCAAAATATTGATTAATTTAACAACAAATAAAAATTTATAAAATTTTTGTATTCTGGAGTACACAATTAATGGGTATTTTTCTGATTGAAATCATTAATTCTAAGATTTGGATATCAAAATCGAGTATTCCCTCCTCGAGCTCGAATAACAGCTCTCATACTTTCTGGCATAGACTGGACCAAAGCAGCAATCTCGTTTTGCGGTATTTGTTCCCACTCATTTACCAGCGCCTGTTTCAACACTACCACAGTTTCACACTCTCCATAATTTTGTCTAAGTCTTCTTCCTAAGTTGTCCCACAAATGATCTATGGGGTTAAGGTCTGGGCTTCTAGGAGGCCATACTAATATCTGAATACCAACATCTGTAAAGTATTGCATAGTTACCCGGATATGTGCGGCCGAGCATTATCTTGCATTAGAAGAAAATGTTCACCTACAAAATGAATATAAGGTACCACATGTTCTTCCAGACATTCCCTAATGTACCTATCAGCATTAAGGCCTGCTTCCCCTAACATAACAAGATCTGTATGTGCTTCCAAAGAAATGCCGCCCCATACCATTACACCTCTAGAGTAAGAACCAGTTTCTCTAAATCTTCGTAAAGTATCAGATATTGTACTTCGCGGAACGCCAAGCATTTCTTCGATATAACGAATGGAACGACCATCATTATGTAAGGCAACAGCTTGCGCTACTTGATCTGGCCTCATTTTAAATTATTCTTGATAAAATCACTTTTCTTTCCCGAAAAAGCAGCCAACCACACACCAAAAAGGCATTATTTTGTAAGTAAATATTCGATTATCGAGAACACCTTAACAAAAACTTTCTTTTCAGCCACAAAAAATGATAAACTTTTAAAAAAAGAATGGATAAAGGCAACTTATATGTTGATAAATATATTTAATTGTTATACAGGGCAATTCAACAAAACTAAAAAGAGAAAACTTTTAAATTTCATGTGTCCGGTTAATTTTGCGGTGCAGTGTATACAGGGTGTTATTGAAATACACGTACATATTAAAATGGGGAATAGTATGTAATGACCAAAAACGATTGGCACCAATTTTAACTTCAAATTCTAAAATTTAAATATTGGGGAAGAGTCCCCTTTTCCGACCTACTAGTTTCCATATTTAAAGAAGTAAAATAAATCGAAATTGAACTTACCCATAGAAATTGCACTGTTGCCGTAGCAAAACCAATTAATTCAAAATAAAGTTTATTACAGTAATTGTTCAAAATGCCGTCCATTATTATTTACACACACTTGCAATCGTCTTTCCAAAGAACTTTGAACATTAGAAATTAGTCTTGGATTTTGTCGTAGTTCCTCGGCTACCGCATTGACTTTATTGGTTAATTGTTCAACACTATTAATAGGTTCATTATAAACCAGTTGTTTCATGTGACCCCACAAAAAGAAATCGCATGGATTTAAGTCCGGAGATCTCGGAGGCCACTTAGTAGGTCCATTTCTGCCTATCCACTTTTGAGGAAATCTAATGTTCAAAAACTGCCGTACGTTTAAATCAAAGTGAGGAGGAGCGCCATCTAGTAGGTACCACATCCGTTGCCTTAATTGTAACGGTATCTCTTCTAGGAGTACTGGCAAAATATCTTCTAAAAAGTGGAGATATCCTGGCCCATTTAATCTGTTCGGGAGAACATAAGGCCCGATTAAATACTGATCTATTATGTCAGCCCAAACATTTATTGAAAATTTTCTTTGATGCCCAGTTTCCCTAATGGCGTGAGGATTTTCATCACTCCAAATATGCGTATTGTGCATATTGAACACGCCATCACGAGTGAATGAAGCCTCGTCAGTATACAATAATATTTTTAGAAAATCAGGAATATCAACAGATTTTTGAATCATCCATTCATAAAACTCCACTCTCTTTTCTTCATCACCTGGATATAAGGCCTGGACTTTTTGGATGTGATAAGGATGTAAACCTTGTTCTTTAAGTGTCCGCCACACAACAAATGAGGACACTCCAATTTCAAGACCTAGTCTTCTACAACTTAATTGAGGCCGGTTTTCAACAGCTTCCAATATTTCTTCTTCGGCCGCCAATGTTCTTTGTGTTCTTGTTCTCCCTCGATCTGCATTGACACTCTCAAATTTTCCATGGTCTTTTAGATGCTGAACAGTTGAAATAAACGTACGACAGTCCGGAATTCTCCGATTTGGAAACCGTTCGCGATACAGGATTTGTGCTTGCCGAGAATTTTCTCCAGCTGCCCCATAAACCAGCACTATATCCGTTAGTTCAATATTCGTAAATAGTGGCATCGTAAAAAAATATTTAAAAGTAATCGTAACAACACTTTTTACCAACTTGGAAATGACGCGCTCGTGTTAGCCAGATTCGTAAATCAACTAAAATTTTAATAATCTATAGTTTCAAAAATGTATAGTTTAAAAACAATCATTTATCAAATATTATAGTTTTTTGATAACGAGGGTAGTAAAAACCAGTCTTCGGAAATAGAAATTAATTCGAAAATCTTGGCAACATGGTTATTTCTTACAAGACTAGTTTTCTTATCATCTGACAAAAACTTGCATATTAATTACTGTTGATGTTTAAAATAGGTAAATAAACCTAATTTATATAGGTCATCCTCAACATATCAGTGAAGTACGTTTGTTTTAGAATTAATTTTCAAAAATTAATAACTCCCTTAATAAGGGGTATTTTTAAAAAATAATATTTTTCTACATTCAGTGGGGATCTGCGCAATACCCAGTTTTAATATGTACGTGTATTTCAATAACACCCTGTATATCTCCTATAAAATAATCCAAATTTTTGTTATGTGCTTGACAGTATTTTATACATTTCCAGAGTTTACAAATAATTTTATATGTACAATATTGTATGTGCCGTTATATTCTAAATTAAGTTTATTATTTTTTCCAGAGCCGTGCCAAACAACTTTACAATGCCGGATTCAAAACTTTACAAAGCATCGCGAAGGCAAATGCAGATGATTTAGTTGAAAATATCGAATTCATGTCAAAAAGAGTTGCAAATCAACTAATAGCTGCATCTAAGGTACTATACACAATACATTCCATATTTTTATATTCAGTATGAATGATCATACAGCAAATTTTATTATTCAGGCTGTTTCAAATGAGTATATTTTTTAATATTGATATTGATCAAAATGGGAGAAAAAAATTACTTACATTCTTTCTATTTTTTCTCCTATAAAATTTGAAGTACTTGCCTGTTTCTAAGATTAATTGTGAAATTAATTTTCAATGAATAAAATTTTTAGTTAGAATTGGGAAATATCAATTATTTGATAAAGCTTCTGAGAACTATAAGCAAGAGCCAAAAATTTTATTTATTAAAAAATAAGTACTATAACTTACCCATTGTCATATACGTAAGCCTTCAAAATCACTGCAAAACATAAATCCTTAAAACAAGTCCTGAATTTCTCAAATTGTTGTATTTATGAAAAAAGTAACTTAAACAATTTATTAATTTGTTAAATTCTTTAATTTTTTTTTTTTCAATATTGTAGATGTTATTACTTGAAAGAGTTGAGAATTTAAGAGAAGAAGCAGAAGATGTCTTAGACGGCGTTGAAATTCCAAAATAGTTCATAACTTTATTTAAGAAAATATAATTTATTTCTTTAAGAATATAATTTTGTTTTGCATCACCCCCTTGTTATTTAATACATTTTGTAATTCTTTATTTATGTTTTATCAAATAAACAATATTTTTTAACATGTTTTATTTCTTTATTTCATCGCTTTTTATATAAACAAGGTAGTAGACTCAATGTAGGTAACTTATTTCTATTACCAATATTCTTCTCTTTCTTAAAATCTATAAAATAGAATAAATTATGTGACAAATCTTTCCAAGTATTCTTGAAACCGAAATATTGAACGCCCTTGATGAAGTCTTCCACGTTTTCAAATCTGCTTTCAACTTCTGCGACTTTCAAGATGCCCCTTTAACAAAAAATATCCATGTCAGCATATAAGAGTAATAAAATCACACTTTGGCTAACAGAGTGGAGCAACGATCTGAAATATGAACAATCGTTTTTGTTATACTTACCCAACTTTTAGAACTCTATTGGCTTCAAATAGATAATCTCTCAAATTTGTACCCATAAGTGACAAACAGAAAACTGCTACATCTATAGAATTATTTTCTAACGGGACTTTGGACATATCGCAAGCGACAACTGTATCATCTGTTGCTACGAGATCAAAAGAATGGACTTTCTGTGACACAGATTTTGAAAGTCTTGCATCTCCACAACCAAAATCGGCAATAACATGCGTTTTTGGCCTAAAAAATAAGAAACAAATTTTCTATATACCTAAGGTGTAATTAGTAATAAAATCGACGTATCTGTTAATAATTGAGAAACTTTTTTATACTGTCTGAGAATTTCAACAACCACTAAGAACTATAATCAATTCAATCTTTTTTAAAAAAATTTAAAAAATATAGAAGTTTATTTCAATATCAATATTATTTTCAATGTTTATTGTCAAAGCTACAACTTATTTGCTCAGTGCGAAGTCATGGTAGGGTAAGCAAAAGCGATACTAGCGCTAGTTGCGGAAATTTTAAGAGCGATATTTTCTAATTTTGGCATATCAACTACACGTATACATTTTACATTTTTTCAAAAAAAATATGTAAAAACAATACAATAAGCAACCGGAGGTGATGTGTTGTAAATTGTAAAAATATTAGCAAAAAACAGTGTAAATTATTTATTTGTTTACAGTAAGCTACAGATACAGGGTCCGGCAGTGAAACGGAAAGATTTCGAAAATAATTTTATTGTTTAAGAATATTTTTTTAAATAATTTTTAATACATTAATGGAAAATAAGAAAGTAGCCATTTGGTTTACAATATCAAAAAAATTATTTTTTGAACACTACATCCGCCAAATGTCCTCTGTTACAATTTATGCATTCTTGGAGTCGTGCCTAAAAGTTTTGCATAACTCTGCGCAGCATATCAACAGGTATTGTTGCAATTTCGTCACGAATTCGTTGTTTAAGAGCTAGGATTGTCCTGGGCGGATCATTTGCAAACAAATTTGTCTTTAGGTATTCCCAAAGAAAGAAGTCGCAGGCGGTTAGGTCGGAAGACCGAGGGGAACCAACTGATATCCCCGTTTCGAGAAACGATACGCCCTGGAAACAAAGCATTTACAGCATTCATTGAAATTCTGGCAGTGTTACTTGTTGCCCCATCTTGTTGAAAAATTGTGTGTTCATCCACTGGAAAGCCTTCAAGTTAAGGTGTAAGAAAATTCTGAATCATTGCAACGTATAGTACAGAATTAACGGTAACGGCATTTTCAGCCTCATTCTCAAAAAAATGTGTATGTTCGATATTTTCAGGGGTTCAAACTGTTTTGTCACTACCCTCATTTTTTTAGACGTCAATCCTGTTTGTTCCAAGTTATTTACCCATTTTTTATCGCTTTATCTGATGGAACAGTTTGGTTGCGCAGTATGTTTTGCACTAAACTCTCACCATTTTGAAAATAGGCTTTAACTGTGTAACCGCGATGCTTACCCGTCCAATGCTCTATGGTAAAATAAATGGTAAATCATGCAGGTCTTGGCGAGTCAGCTAGTTTCTTCCCCACTTGTTCGCGGCGCGTTGCAAACCATACCTCAAATCTTTCCCTTTCACTGCCGGACCCTGTACATAAAGTTCTAAATGGTACATTTAAAATATCAATAAAAATAAAATAAAAAAAGAAATTAATAAAATTGTCACAGTATAAAAATGAAGTCAATAGTGTAATGAAAGTTGACGCTTTAAAGAAAACAAACCAAACATCATAATTTGAAAAATACTTATTGTAATTGGACATCAGTCGGTCTACAAATAAATTTTGTCCATAGTTCTATGAGTATTTACATAAAAAAAAGTTTAATATGCCTAGTAAGTCTGGCAGGAACAAGGAATCTAATAAAATGTACCAGACTGTCACTATCAATCAAACCGTTCAATAACTTGTACAGGAAAACAAGCTATGCTTCTCGACGTCTACATTCCAAACTCATGAGTCCGCACAACAGAATTCTGGTTTGGTAATCCATATTTTGCGATGGAAGCCTATGTGTATATATAGTCCAAGAGCCAGTGACACACATTTCATTAAGTGTTTGATGCACTTTGAAATTTTGTAATTTGAAATCATTTGGATGGAAAAGCAGATATACCTGTGTTGGCTTGACCCACCCCGGGACACCAGGTACTGCGCATAATAGAAAGGGGTCGTAAAATATGACCCAAAAAAAGTGTTTGATTCACGCTCAAACTTTAATAGCGTCTTAATTAAATATAAAAAAAAATTAATTCCAAAAAGGCAGACACTTTTTCCGGGGTTTAATTGCCGGCCAACATAAAAAAACTCTTATCGCTGATCACCCTACAGCTGTATCGGCCGTTCATACAAGGGAAGTGCAACCAACTTGACAAAATAAAATTGACACTAATGACATAAGAAATCGGGTCACAGAAAGAGGCTGTTTTTTTGTTAAATTTTTAATTTTTCTTATCTACTTTTATGTCGTTTAGATACCATGTTGTACCCGTAATGTAAAAAAGACTTTTTATTTTAGGGTATTTTACATTTAAAGGTTGAAAACATTTGTCACTAATCAGCTGTGGATAATATCAAAACATAGGCGTAGCAGTACATTTTATTTTTTGTTAATAGTCTATTTGTGTTTCTCCCGCTTTATGAAACATTTTTTTTTTCATTTGGCTTTATTTATTTATGTCGATTGCAAAATGCTGCTGCTACGAATACAAGTTCTATACAATATACAACCAACATACAATACTAGTTACATTATGCCCATCTATGGTTACGCCTGTGTTCTACCAACAACATAATTGACAGCTGACGATGACAAAAATAACCTAAACTAAAGTCTTTTTCACGTTACGGGTACAACAAGGTATGCAAATGGCATGAAAGTAGATAGGAAATACCATAAAGCAAACTAAAAAACAGCCTCTTTATGTAACCCGATTTCTTATGTCATTAGTGTCAATTTTATTTTGTCAAATTGGTTGCACTTCCCTTGTATGAACGGCCGATACAGCTGTAGGGTGATCAGCGATAAGACTTATTTTTATGTTGGCCGGCAATTAAACCCCGGAAAAAGTGTCTGCCTTTTTGGAATTATTTTTTTTTAAATTTAATTAAGACGCTATTAAAATTTGAGCGTGAATCAAACACTTTTTTTGGGTCATATTTTACGACCCCTTTCTATTATGCGCAGTACCTGGTGTCCCGGGGTGGGTGAAGCCAACACAGGTATATCTGCTTTTCCATCCAAATGATTTCAAATTACAAAATTTCAAAGTGCATCAAACACTTAATGAAATGTGTGTTACTGGCTCTCCGGCTAATAGTAGATACTTCGAAACTTTATTTTGCACTCTTTTTATTTTATCAATAGTCAGGTGCCCAAATCTCTGAGCAGTTTTCTAAAATGCTTCTAACTAAGCAGTTGTAGAGACTCTACAGAGCTGCCGTGTCATAAATGTGCTTGGTGTTCCATTTGCCAAACCCAGCAGTCGAAAAGCTCTGTTTACAGTTTCTTCCAAATGAGGAATAAACGATAGGGCCCTGTCAAAAATAACACCAAGATCATTTATAGTTTGCTCAACACTTATGGTAGATTTTATTTGTTGCACTAGTGTCACACTTGACACTATATTTGAACTGCCATACTTGTCAAAAGTATATGCTACATTGTTTCATTTATCTAAGATGCTACACGTGTGATACTGTCAAATATTTGAAGCTACACTGAAAAAATTAAATGTGATTTGTGCAGAAAACTTACACCTAGTGCAACAAATAAAATCCACTATTATTCAGAACCTGCAATGCCATAATCATGCACAATAATGATATTAGCTGTTTTATTGAACTTTACGACTTTACATTTATCGATATTCAGTTTAAGCAAGTTATCGTTGCACCATTTAACCAAATTGCTGAGATCTGATTGTGATTGTTTCAAAAGTCATTGACGATTGAAAAAAAAAAAATTAGGTCATCTGCATATAGGAGGCAACTGGAGTTATTAAAACAAGTTGTTACATCGTTAATAAAAAGTATTAACAATATAGATCCTATATGGGAGCCCTGTGGCATATCTGAATGTACGAAAATTTCGCTAGATGTAAAACCACATAAATTCACTCTGACGACGTTCAGTTAAATAGGATCTAATAAACTTAAGGTAGTTGCCGATAATACCAATCCTCTTCAATTTATCTAACAGCAAGGAATGACAAACGCTGTCGAAACATTTAGACAGATCAGTGTAGATAGAGTCCACTTATTTGCCATCCTCTATTGCAGATAAAAGAAGCTGCTGATACTCAGCAAGATTAGTAGTTGCTGATCGCTTTGAAAAAGCCGTGCTGTTGTGGTGCAATGTAACGCCGAAAAGACATAAATATCTCATCTGTTATTATAGCCTCCATGACTTTAGGAATGCTGGATATAATAAAAATTCCTCGATAGTTTCAAACAGATTTAAATATTGGCACTAAGTTAGAATATTCCAACGTTGGGGAAAGAAACCATCATCAACACATTTTTGGAATAATTGACATAGAGGAGTAGAAAGTGAGGATTGACAATTTTTAAGAAAATGGGAGGAATTCCATCCAGGCTATGGCCTTTAGAGACATCTAACTGAAGCAAGTGAGTGTTGAATCTCTTTTTCAGTGAAAAAGCGTGAGGAAAGATTACTAGAGAAATCAGTTACATTAAACATATTGTGTTTAATGTAACAGGACTGAAAATGAGAGGCAAATGCCTTAACTATTTCTTCAGGGTCATAAATTAATTTGCCATTAAATTTCATATGTTTTGGAATGGTTGATGAACGCAGAGTTCTTATATATGACCACAAGTGCTCGATATTATTAGGAATAAGGTGTTCCATGTTAGAAGCAAAGGTAAGATAACATAAATCAGTGCGGTACTTTAATTTGCGCCGTGCATAAAAATATAACTGGTAGTCACTACTCAGACCAGAGTGCTTATATTTTTTATATAGTCTATTTTTGAAGGCAATACATTTTCGAAGTTCACTGTCAAACCATTTCGGATATTTAATATTTTTTATAGTCTTTTTTGGGACAAATTGATTGATGCCTTGAAACAAAAAGTCATAAAATTTTTCAACTCTGTCTTCGATGTTTGGTGCTTTATTGACTGACGTCCAGTCCACCTGGTTGTAAAAGTTATAAAAATTTTCAGTAGCGAAGTGGAAATTAAATAAATTAATTAATTAAACAGCTGTATATTAAAAGGAAAAATTAACTTTATTTTTGTAATAATAATAGTAATACTGCAAATAACAGTAGACATCAGAAACTTGAAAGGTTTTAAATAAACAATAAATTATCATTATACGATGTTCTTCAACATCCCTTCAGCAAGAACTAGATTTCTGCCTTTGATTATTGTATGTGGCTGGAATGCAATTTTGTGACTTACTGATAGGAAACCAGTTTTAATCATTCATTCTATGTTTTCTTTCGAACAAAAATAAAAATATAAACACAATCCTTCTGTTTATACATTTTAACTTCACTCTATTATTTAATGGTATTTTTTTTTCATTTTAGCATAATATGTTAATTCTTTAAAGACAACTTATTAGGCTTAGATAACTTCTCACACATTTTCCTGTAAATACTGTTGCCTGCCTATATTTTATTATTGATTTTTATTGGTTATACTTGTTTTTTTTTTTAGTTTAAGCGATAAAAATATATAATAATAATAAATTATTGTTTCAATTGTTTTACAAATTCATATTGTGACGAAAGTCTAATTTATTTAAAGTTTATTTATTTAAAAACACTATTTACAATTTATTTCAGACGTACTATTTAATTTATATAATATTTGAACACTAACTAACAATTCTAATTTATTTCTTACACTTTTACTTTTCAATACAACGTTCTATATAAAAACTAAACTCGGCGCTGATACGTCGACTATTTATATTAATCCAACTCCGCTAATGGAAGATACGGGAGACTCTCGAACATTCCTTTTTATGACTAAGCGGCATTCTCCGCCATTACAGTCGCTTCCAGTACATTAGCGGCAGACATTCCATCGTATTCGAGACCCGGGCCGGCTGTTTCCACACGTCAGCGTTGCTTCTATCACGAATCGGTTGCGTGCTTAGACAGAGTCGGACTTCATGACAATATACTTTTATTAAAACTAACATATATACTTTTTAATTACGAATTCTATTAAAAACTGTATTGTCTGTATACGCAAAAATAGTCCATTGGTTCATAAATGAATTGACGCTGCACGCACGGAGCAAATAGACAAACACTTAATATAATAATTATTGTGCAATACTAACAATTACATAAATAAAAAAATTAAATAACGTTACATATAAAATTAAAAGTTAACACATAATATCGATAATAAAATTATAAAACGTGTATGTTTAAACAGTCAACAATTTAAAAGTCCATTGTATAATTCCATCAAAATATAATGGTTTTATCACCAACATATTTCTAAGCGGTCTTTTAAATGTTGCAATACGGTTCTTTAATTTCTAATTGTTGTCTAAATTAATGCTTAGAAATTTTATTGTGTTTGTACATTCTATATTATAACTTCCTAACTGAATATTTGGTAGGGAACATTTAACGAGTTAGCATTTTAGTTTTTTTTACATATTTAGACACAAATAGTTGACATTGCACCATGGCTTTGATTTTCTTAATGTCACAGTATATGTTATAAAAAACGCAGGTGCCATTGACGTGCCAAAAAATTGTAGTGTCATCAGCAAATAGAGTGTGCAATTTAAGTTAAGCCAAGTTATTTAAATAAAGGTGGAATAAAATGGGACTAAACACAGAACCCTGAAGTACTCTCCAACTAATATCTAAAACTCGAGAATCCTTAGCTTTTATCATTTGATTAGGTTCTGAAAGATAAGATTTCGCCCAACTCCGTTTCTGCAACAATACTGTATGACACAATCGAAGGCCTTAGTCAAATCTTAGAATATCGCCACTACAGCTTCGTTAAAATTTATTTTAGAATAAGCAAGTTCAAGACAAGAAAATACCACATCAGAAGTGCTCTTATTCTTTTGAAAACCAGATTGTTGTTTTAAGCAATTTGTGGGTTTCTAATAATCCTTCTAAAGTCGTTATTTTACAGAAAAGAATAACAAGTTATATTTTTAATATAGAATTAATGCAACTTGTAAATTTAGGTCTACTTACATTTTTTTGGCGGCGTCAATAATAACATCTAACGGATTCATCGGCCAACTTTTAACCTGTTTTCTATAACCATCGTGATAGGCTTTAAACGCGTCAGGATCATTTTGGAATATTTTCTGAGCTTCTTTACCATCCGTCGTGTAAATCTGCTCATTGATAAACCGAAATCGAGCCGCTTTTAACTTTTCCATCATTTTCTGTCTCAAAGTTTGAATGGGTTTTTTCTCTACATTGGTCGAATGAAGAGCACCTTTCAGTTTCTCAAAGAATTTCGCTTTCTTATTCATTCGTTGGGAAGAAGTTTTAGGCTGCTCTAATAAATTTTCCGTAAAAGATTGATCATTGAATATAAGCTTCTTAACTTTCGAAATAGGTTTGTTGAATGGATGTGTATCTTTTTTTAGGAATCGTTCTGTAGCTGTGTTGCTTTCATGCGAAACTTCTTTAGTTTTTTTCTTAGGTTTCTTTTCCGTTATATTCACCTCAGTACCATCGGTGTTGCTTACATTTTTCGAAAGTTTGCGTTTGAGCTTCTTTTCCAATTTTTTTAGTTTTTTCTTTTGGTTTTTTAAAAGTTTATAATCATTTTCAACTAAATTACTAGTCTCATTCGATTGCTTATGTTTAGGAAGCTTTTTCTTATTTTTAATTGGTTGTTCAATAATTTTATTAGTATTTGAATTAAATGAATCAATCTGGTTAGAATTTTGTTTATTCATTGATTTTTCTTGGAATTTAGGTTTCCTTTTTTTACTACCATTCGCTTTGATTAAATTAATGGTTTCATCGGTATTATTATTATTTATTCTTTTCTTTAGTTCCCTTATTTGCTTCTTTGCTCTCTTTTTTTGATTATCAATTAATTTACTTTTTTTCTTAGGTTTCTAGAAAAAAGTTTTTATTTATAAAATAGGTTAGTGTATTCATTTATTTATTTCACATTATTTTTTTAACAGTAACCCTCAATGTTAAAGACAAAAACATTCTCTTTATATTACGAAGGGTTGTAGGAGCTTTGCCCAATTCTCAGTTAGGACTGTCTACTTGGTCTGTATGTATAAAAGCAATTAATCATAACATTCGAGGTGTTTTTGATAATGTAATGCTACTTTTAGAAATTATAAAGGGTTCATTTCAAACATGGTCAGTCAAAATAACTTTAAATTTTATATAAATTTAAGAAAAACAAAAAATATGTAAACTTTTTATTAGCAAGAGTATGAATTGTCATAAAATTCATACAGAGAAAATCAACTTCCTTTCACCTTTCACAAAAATTCTTTTTTTTTACAAAAATAAAATCAAAGAATCAAAATTACAACACAAGTGATAATATACACCTCTGTAAACAAATGGTTCATCTTGAATACATTTTTTTCCGGGAAGTAAATATAACGAACTGTATCTATAAAGTGTCCTTGTATTACTAATTTACCACAATTTAAATATTCTTTCTCTCTTTTATGGATATAGCAGAACTAAATATTTTTAATGAGATTGAAAATGAAGAAAATGAGATTGAATTAAATAAAAATTCTCGTTATGACTTAGACCATTTTTTAAATATTATCAGTTGCAATAATCATTTAACAACCTTAATAAAAATTTTGCATTTGAATATTAGAAGCATAAAAAAAAATTGACAACTTTTTAGTATTTTTAAAAACTTTTGGTTTAAAGGACTTTGATATAATAATATTAGGAGAAACAGGTAATGTTATTGAACTTGATAATTTAATTATACCTGGTTTTATCAATATATTTAATGAAAGTGTGAATAATCAATGTGATGGTGTAGTTATATATATTAAAAACAACATACATTTTGAAATAGAACATACAAAATTGCCTCTATCAAATGTAATGATAAGCTCAATAACATTTAGTCATAATGGTGTGCCCTATACAGTAATGCCTTGTTATAAATCTCCATCCATATCAGATGATACATTTCTTAGAGATTTTGAAAATTTCTTAAATAATATACCAAGATGGCTAGGAATGGATATATTTATTGGTGACATTAATATTAATATCCTTGATCCCTCAAACCAAATAACAAATAGATATTTGGCAATGTTATCTTCCTTGGGATTTGTATCATATATTAATTCTTACACCAGGGTTACTGTAGAAAGGAAATCATGTATTGATCATATTTTTATAAAAAATAATATGCCAAGTAAAAAGTTTTCATTTAAATCGTTGGTAATTGACACTGATCTAACTGAACATTTTCCAATTTTTTTAAATAGTACAACAAACGAAAGAAACTTTAACCATAATACATTAAACCAACATACAACACAATACACCGATATAGATAGATTTACAAAATTATTAGAAAATGTAAACTGGGACAACGTCATTTCTCTTAGCAATCCAATTTTGGCCTACCAGAAATTTATTGAAATAATATATTCCCTAAAAGAACAATGTAATATAACTAATAGGCATAATACTTATAAAAAAATAAAACTATGGATAAATCAAGGCATCATCATGTCTATTAAACATAGGGATAAAATGAAAAAGCAAATATTAAAAACCAAAAACAAGAATCTTCTAAGATAATATAGGATATATAATCAACTAAATAAAATAATAAATAAAGCTAAAAATGATTATTATACAATTCAAATTCAAAATAGTAACAATGATATTAAAAAAATATTCAAAATAGTTAAAGAAGCTTCAAATGAACACCGAAACAATAAAACAAACAATGATTTTAATATTCTAAACAATAATAAACAATTTACAAATGACAAAGAAATGGTCAATTACAGTTCATCAAATTTCTAGAGGCTTTCGACGGCTAGACAGAGAAAGCACTACTGGCAGGCATCCCGACGGATTTACGCAATGAAAGTACACTCTGCGCATCAAGTATTTCACTATTTCATTCAGACGTAAATGTAAGATGTAAATTTCGCTAAAACATTTCTTTTATTTTCGTTTGTGTTTTTTGCTCATTACAGTTTAATAGAACCTAAGTATGGAGTTTAATAGCAAATTAAGAGGCCGCGTGATTAACAGTCAATCTCGCGAAATAATAGCCAATGTTATAGAGTTTATGAGAAGAGAAGGAAACTTTAATTCACCTTCAATACCATTTAAAAATGTAAATGATCGTGTTGCTGCAGCCACAGGAGTATCTTAAAACACTGTCGTCCGCATTTCTGGAGAGAAAAAAAGAATCGATAACCGTGAGATATCGGAATTTTCATCACCAAGAAAAACCATTAAAAAACCAAAAACAGTTACTGATATAGATGAAGCTGCACAAGAATCAAATTTTATTTTTTTATTATTAGATAGCTATTTTTGTTTCTGAGTTGTGTTCATTTACAGGCTCAATTTTTTTCCGTTTCTCCTTTTTGATTTTATATGGGGTTTCAAGTTGTTTTTGACTTATTTCGACGTAAATCACAACAACACACTTTTTTAATAAAGCAAACAAGTGTTAAGAGGTATATGTACGTGTAAACTACAATTACAAAAAATTGATATGAAACCCATGAAACCACCAACAAAAATGTAAAGCTAGCTTCCGTACTAGAACATGGTGTCATTCGTCGAGATAATTTATCGTTTTGTTTAATAGATCAAGAAATGTAAATATTCTCCTGTTATTTTTTATAAAATTATAAGAGAAATAAATTTTTTTCTAAATAGTATAGTTTATTATTTTGTAGAAAAACAAAATTTCGAAAATTTTAGTAATGTTTCAGAAACAACCGTTATTAATAATAGGTACCATTTTCCTTAATAAGGTAGAAATAAAATATAAACTATTTCCACGATTTACAAAGGCCTACAAAAAAATTATAGGTATTTTCCGCTATCCTATAAAATTTATATTTTCTGACTCAATTTCAAAAGGTTGAAGGAATTCCGAAACACCTTTTATGGCATAATAATTATTTTCAATTCTACATACTATCTTTAGCTGCTTTTAAAAACGTTCTAAGAAAGTCCAATCAGACCAATTTAATCCCTAAACTATTCCACACTTTTAAAATTTAATTACCTAAAAATATTAAAAACTATTTAAAATAACTTGTTTAGCAGACTGTACAATAGCTATCTTAGTCACACGTAGCGCGTTCTCTGTCTGGGCGTCGAACACCTCTAGAAATTTGATGAACTGTACTGCAATAACTATTTTTCAAAAATTTATATAGATATGGCAACTAAAATCAATTCTGTAGATGACTTCCTAATAAGATATCCACCTCTAATCAACTCAATGGCATTAAATCCTGTCAATAAAAATGAAGTAATAGAACATATAAATTCGTTAAAAAATAACAGTGCTCCTGGGATTGACGGAATTACATCTAGAATGTTGAAAAATGGTCACCGATACATAATAGAGCCTCTAATGCACATTATAAAACTAATCTTTACAACAGGTAAGATACCGGAAGAACTTAAAATATCAATTGTAAATCCAGTTTTTATAAACGGATCCAAAAAAGATGTGTTACAGACCAAAAATTTTTAAAAAATGTTTAAAAAAAGATTATACGAATATCTAATTGATAAAAAGATTTTAAATATTAAACAGTTCAGGTTCCAAAGTGTTAGCACTTGTGATGCCATGTATGAATTGATATCTAATATAAAAAACAGTCTTGAGAATGAAAATAAAAATATAAGTGTTTTTATCGACCTCGCGAAAGCTTTTGACACTGTTCCTAACAAGCAACTACTATATGTTCTTGAACATTATGGCATTCGAGGATTGGTTTTAAAATTTTTTGAAAACTACCTACACGAGAGAACACAGATAGTTAAAATTAGAAATTAATTTAGAAATCCTGTTAAAATTCAAATAGGTGTGCCACAAGGAACTGTCCTTGGTCCAATTCTTTTTATCATCTATATCAACTATCTTTTAAACTAAGATATAAATGGTATAGCAATATCCTATGCAGATGACACCTTATAAATGTTTGAAGGTAAAACCTGGGAGGCTGTAAAATCAAAAGTGGTTAAAGGGGTAAGAATTATGAAAGACTGGTTGGATTATAATTAACTATTTTTAAATATATCGAAAATAGTATATATGGCATTCTCGCTCACAGATGCTAACAGGCCTAACTTCAAACAGATTTGTATTGAAGAATCCAAATTCATCATCAAAGAAGTGGAAAATGCCAAATATTTGGGAATAATAGTTGACAAAAATCTTAAATGGACTGATCATCAGAGCTGGGGAGTAACGAAACAAAAACGTTACTTTTTAGTAACGCGTTACTAGTAATTTCGTTACTTTTGTTAAATCAGCGAAAAGTAACGGTAATTGCGTTACTTTTTCAAAGTAACGTAAAATCGTTACTTCGTTACAGTAACGCGTTATTACAAGTAAGGCGTTACTACAAAAGTAAGGCGTTACTTCTTAAAACTGAGGTTTTTATATTTGTTTTACAGTTGCATTTCGCACGCTTTGATAATAGTGATAATACATAATTATATGCACTACATCCCAAACAAAATATTTTTTAACATACAACAAATTTTTTTTTTGTATATAAATAATTTTGCTTCTAGAAGGTGTGTGTGTGTGTGTGCGTGCGCGCGTGCGTGCGTACGTGTGTATGCGAGAGTGAGTGAGTGTGCGCGGGCGTGCGTGCGTGTGTGTTACTATATCATACCCCGATATTACAGATTACAGGGTGTAACAAAAAGGTGAATAGTAAATTTAGCCACAGTTTCTGGAGTCAAAAATAGGTCGATTTAAGCTTACTTGCTTAAAAATGTACACGTTTCTTCCTGAAGAAAAAAAATCGTGAAAAAATATTCAGTCGTTTGATCAGATGAAAAATTTAAATAATTATTATTTTACATTATGACCTAAGGCCTTTTGGGTCCTATGACGCTATTTCGTAATTAGCTCTTTCACAAACAAATATTAAGAGAAATTTAAAAACAAACGTAGGATTTTAGTGGCGTTGTTTTTAACTGAGTTTCATTGTCTAAAAAAGTAGGGGATCAAAGGGGTTTGAACCCCCTCTAAAAACCCAAATAATTAAAACAAGTTTAAATACTACTAACCCTATTTTGTTGGTCAATGTTAGGTTTTTATTTATTTTTAAAGTTATCTAGAGTGTACCCTTACGTTGTTTTCTAATATTTGACACTTAAAAAACAGCCGGTTGCACAAACGATGATTAATATTTAGTAGCCTGATCACATTAAAATTTGACAGTAATTTCGACTGGGTAATTTCATGATGTAAGTAGGTAAATACTAAATGTATGGTTTATCCCGTAAGTTACCGTTGCAACTTACAACCTTAAAACTGATAGAGTAAGGGGTCTATTCTGTAACAATTCCTTTATATTTAATGGCCTTTAAAAATATTTTCTTCTTTACTTCTGTGATTATTTAAACGGATCTTTAAAATACATTAAAGAACTATCTTAAAGAAATCTGTTTAAGTAATGACAGAAGTAAATTAACGAATACGAAAATATTTTAAAGGCCGCCAATATTTTTAAAGGCCGTTAAATATAAAGGAATTGTTACAGAATAGACCCCTAAGACTGTTTATTTTTCAAGTGTTGAGACATTTAGTTAAATAAAGCATGAATTACAAATAACAATATAACTTTCATTATCCCTTTCTTGTTCTATAGTACAAATGTACACCAACTTTTTATTAATTTATTTCCAAAAGTAACGCTTTTTTAAAGTAACGCTTTACTTTTAAAGTAACGCCTTACTTTTGCAGTAACCCGTTACTTTTTCAGTCACATGTTACTTTTGCAGTCACGCGTTATTTTTTCAGTAAAACGTTACTTTAAAAGTAACGAAGTTACAATAACGCGTTACTTTCGGAAAGTAACGAATAATTCGTTACTTTTTTAAAAAAGTAACGGTAACGATTGTAAAACGCGTTACTTTTTTTTAGTAATGGTCCCAGGTCTGCTGATCATGTTCAGTACTTAACAAACAAAATAAGAAAACTTATATATAAATTTTATTTAATTCGTAACATTCTAAATAAAAAGTTATTACACTTGATATATATTGCTCTCATTGAACCCTTAATTAGATATGGCGTAATTGTATGGGGTGGTTTATATGACAATGCCCTACATCCTTTAAGTATCATTCAAAATTATATCTTAAAGATAATAAATCATAAAAGTCGTTTGTTTTCAACAACCCTCTTATACAACGAATCCACTCCAAATATAAGATCACTATACTTTCACTCTAGCTGTATGTTCTATTTCAAACTGAAAAATAAAATTTTTGTAAACCACTCTTATATGACCCGAAAACAAAAGAGAAGAATGCTAAATGTACCATTCTTTAAATATGATGGAAATAAAAGATTCATTTCTTCAATTGGGCCAAAAGTCTTTAAGTGAAAATATCAGACAAATAAAAAAACATAAAAACCTTTTCTAAAGCGATTAGAAAATTTATATTTGATAAATATTTATACCTCTCAAATTTGTTATAAATACCTAGTCTTATATATTTATCCTTTTAATCATCAAATGTTTAGTTTATAGGTGGTACTGTTAATTTTATGTAGTTTTAATCTATTTCTATTGCACATACAGATGTTTTTGAATCTAGGTGCATATTTTAAGAATAATTTCTCATTGTAAATTTATTTTGATTTTGTATTATAAAATGTTTATTCTTCTTAAATAAATAAATTAAAAATCTAAATTAATTGTAAAAAAGAAATAACAATAGTTGTTAACCTGCTTTTTTGATAAATAATCATTCTTTTGTGCATTTATAATACAAATACTTTTTATTAATTTTATTTATATTGTCAACTTTATTTTAAATTCTAAAAACCACTGGGTAAGTGTTAATCTAACAATAAAAATAAATAAATAAGTACAACTTAAATTTTTATTTCAAATAATGAAACCCTGACTTTCTTTTATTAACAATAGTTATTCTAAAACATTGATTTGATGCCCGTATAATTAAAAGTAGAACCAGGCTTTGGTTGTGTTTGTGGTTTCTGAGTCTGTTCATTTTCTTTATTTTCTAAATATTCCCTCTGTTTGATACGAAATTCCTTCAGAGGATCTTCATACTGTTTATAAAATCTTAAAACTTCTCTAACATCTTCAATCTCCGTTTGAGCGATGGTCATCAAAAATGAAGTTAGATCGACAAGCACCATATCTTCATTTTCCCCCTTCCATCTGGGAATGTTCAAGTGATTATCAGGATGAAATTTAACAGATTCAGAATTCCAATCGACGACAATTACTTTTTTCAGATCTCTGTTGAGTTTTTCAAGATTTTTGACATGATGTCCATCCACAAAATGAGTTGAATCTCTTACTAACTTGTAAGAAATTAAGTTTTTTGGGTCTAGGGCTTCAATAACTGGGAAAATAGTCATGCCTGGTTGGGCAGTGAATACAACAATTTCATATAAACCAACGAGATTATCTAACATATATTCTAAACCAGGACGTTTTTTAAACCTCCATCCAGTGCTGTATGTCCAATCTGGATGAGCTAAAACGTCTGTAAATTCTAAAATAAGTGTGTAGGGGGGCTGGTAAAAAGGATATTCTACTGGGTCAGGCAAAAGTTTTTCTCTGGATGGTTCCTTGATAAAAACAGTAACATCTTCAATTTGCTTCAACAATTGCCGTAAATAACTTTTCCAAGAAGATAAGCGGTTTTCACCAGTCGTATTGTTCAGTTCTATCAAAAGATAAGCACCCAGAAGTGTAACTGAAAATCCCAGTAGTGCTAATCTAATATTCTGCGGTTTGGCACTCTTCTTATCAATGGTTTCCTTTCGAATATAGTCTTTATTATCGCGGAAACTCTTCTCAATAGTTGTAAAATTGCTGACATTTTTAATATTTTTTGCTTTGTTTGAAATGGATCGTAAGTTAATACTAGGTGGAAAGTAGTATTTTTGATTGGGAAAAATGTTCGTCAAATTTCTTCTGAATATAATTCTTTTTATTACCCACATGACGACATTACTTTTTGATTAATTTTCAGTGACCCATAACATAAATTTATGAAAAGAGTACCTCGAGACGCCAGTGCGACAATGACGTTTTGGCATGATGCAAAGAAAATATTAAATGTGCAACCATTTATTTATCTGTCAAATTCACAGCATACATCATGTCTTTCACTACTATCACCCAAATAGATTATTCAGTCTACGAAACCTTTTGCTTAAAGTTTTAAAAATAAAAGGAGAATGCATAAATTCAAATAGATTCAAATATCATACCTGGAACAGCTCTTGAAATGTATCGTTTTCTGCATCCATATCCCATTTTGCACTTTGAAAGGTTTTCATAGTATTTAAACTAAGTGATTAATTAAAAACAGTTTATTTATATTAAAATAAAACAGAAACACGTTTTTTCTAAATATAAACAAACTGAACTAACCTCAAACCTTCTTCTTCTTCTTCTTCTTCTTCTTCGTTACTCAGATATTTATCTACGTCTCTACTTCTATTTATTATTCTCTTTGACAATTAGACTCTTGCCTTTAGACATACAGCCACCCATTTCCTTTAATCTTATAATTTTATAAATTAATGTTATAATAATGAATCCTGGGCGCACACAATGTCGTTATTATTAACCTTTGTAATAAGTTTGAACATAAAATTTAAAAAATACGTCTATATTGTCTGGCAAATTATTAAATGCGATTTGCGTGTTAAAAGTAGTCATTATGGTCGAAGAAAAAGAATAGTGTGTTAATAATGCAGAAATAGTATTTTACGCCCGTGTCACAAGTTCCACACCATCGTATGAAATAGGTTATACCTATACTTTCTACACTTGTACAATTTATACTATTCTTTTAGTTATTAATAATAGGTTGGCAGACGATCTACAGAACGATCCTCCATGAGGCCTTTGAAAACACTATGAAGACTAGGAAAACACTGTGACAAAATCTGCTATTATAACGTATATATCTCAGATTAGAGGCATTTCTTTATAAGCTCACCATAAATTACTAGAACATACTAACCTATGTTACCTGAGCATTTTTTTATATGGTTAGGTTATTCTGATGACGTCATATGTTACTAAAGCATATGTAGCTACATCTAACGAACATTTCTTTATAATTAGAACACACTATAATAAAAAATAATACAATCAAAACCACCTAAAATTTCTAAAATTCAAATTCCGTTTAGAAATTACCAAACTTAAATTAAATTTGACATATTATGACATTCAATAATAGGGTTACCACGGCATGTTTGACGTCATCACAGTAACTACAATACTGTAACCAAGTACTTATGTTGTAATAAGCTTATAAGGAAATGCCTTTAGTACATTTCTGATCAACGTCAACTTAAGAAAATTAGAAATCTATAAATTATCCAATTATAGCAACCTGATTCAATGCTGAATTTTAAAACATCCATATTCCCTCCGTGCGTGACAGCAGCGCTAATTCATTTAGGTACTAATGGACTATTTCTGCTTATACTGACAATACAATTTTTAATAGAATTTGTAGTTAAAAAGTATGTTAGTTTTAATAAAAGTATATGGATTTGTAAAACAAGTAAAACATTAATTTATTATTATTATATATTTTTATCGCTTAAATAAAAAAAAATGAGTATAATTAATAAAAATCAATATTAAAATACAGACAGGCAACAGTATTTACGTGAAAATGTATGAGAAGTTGCCTAAGTCTAATAAGTTGTCTGAAGAATTAATCTATTGTCAAAATAAAAAAATAGCATTACATAATAGAGAGATATTGCAAATTTCTATAACGTCAGCCACTAATAGTGACAACGTAATTAGAGGCAAATAAATTCCATACTAAAATAAGACTTATTGCAAACCAAAAATTTTCACATTAGAGTCCTTGTCCTTATACGTGCCTTATACATATTTCTAACCTCCTTTTAAAAATTTTGAATTACATTTATTTCATCTTTTTTGTTTATAATAGTACATAATATGGAAGGGGCATTAGAAATTACCAATTTAGAAGGTTTAGATGACGATGATATTAATATTTAATATTAAAAAACTTCGAACTGATACGAATGTTGGCGAGGGCACCCGAAAACTATAAAGTCGCCAATACAGTTCAGTGATGATGTAATTATAGTTTCACTGACAATTAAAGTGACAGTAGATTTTTTAAGTGCATCTTGTTCGTTTTGTTTACCTAAATTATATCGTTTTTTCACTTTTATAAATATATTCCTAAAGTAAGTAGATAACATGCATCAAATATACAATCGTTTAGTTACCAATTAAATACCTTTAAAAAATATTTAGAAATAAACCAAAAACAGTAAAAACGTCAAATTTATTGAGGTTTTTGTTAAAAGTTTGGTTAGAATTAAATGTCAGTGGAACCAAAATAACATCACACCAAACTAGCATATAACTGCTGCCCTTAAACATACACAATTAAGGACAGGCACAATCTTTATTAAAGGTAAATCTAGAATGTAAGTGATCTGCGCATGCTCAGATGTCAAAATAAGAGCGGCTCTAATAGTGACTGACCTTAAGTGAACTCTCTAATAGCGTTAAAATGTATAAACATGGTTTTTTTGTGTGAATCATCGGCTTCAACTGCTAAGGTTATTTCGCCTCGTGTTCTGTGTAGGCTTTGTTACTGTTTTTCAGCGCCACTTTAGGAACAGCACTGTTAACTAGAACCCAACAGTGAATGGTCGAGGGGGGAATTCTCCTACCAAGGCATCAGAATTAATTTTAAATAATTAAATTAAAAAAAAATCCTGGCTAACGCTGGTATTCGAACCTGGGACCCTTGGATCCGCAGGCAGAGACTACCACAGAGCCACCCACTCCCCTCAGAAGGATTGTTATTTATATTTTCATTTTTGTTCGAAAGAAAACATAGAATAAATGATTAAATACTGGTTTCCTATATCAGTAAGTCACAAAATTGCATTTCAGCCACATACAATAATCAAAGGCAGACATCTTGAAATCTAGTCCTTGCTGAACGTTTTAGAACAAAGGGATGTTAAAGAACATCGTAAAATGATAATTTATGGTTTATTTAAAACATTTCCAGTTTCTGATATCAAATTCCAGTATTACTGTTATTATTACAAAAATTTTTCTTCCTATTGTACACCTATCCATTTATTTCTTTGATTTAATTTCCACTTTGCTACTGAAAATTTTTATAATTTTCACTGTTTTTTTTTGCTAGTATTTTCATAATTTTCAACACAGCAACTCCGGTTGCTTATTGTAATGTTTTTACCTACTTTTTTGAAAAAAAGTAAGAAGTATACGTGTATTTGATATGTCATAATTACAAAATATCGCCCTAAAATGCACGAATTATCCGCAGCTAGCGCTAGTATCGCTTTTGCTTCCCCTACCATGACTTCGCACTGAGCGAATAAAATGTCAAATCATTAACTATGTAAATATGTCATTCTGACATCTAACATGATAATGTAATACATAAATACATAAGAACACCTATTTAAATAATCATGAACTAAATTTATTACTTAGCACAGGAACAACTACTTATAATGGCCATATTTTTTTAATACGCAATACCTATGTCAAGTAAGTAAGTATATAATAAATTATAGAAACTTGTTTGTAATTTACCTACAGCTTCATTATAAACTTAAAAGTAATTTAAAAAAAACCGACTTCAAAATCGTGCAGATGCCATCATCAGATCTTGATCAAATTTATATGGAACCACCCCTGAGATACCTCCTTTCTACCAAAAAAGATTCATAGAAATTGGACAATGTAAAAAATTATCGCTGAACATACATAAAAAATTAAGAGTTTGATGATTTTCTCATGTATCCAAAGAATTAGATCTTGGCCAAATGTATATGGGACAACCTCTAAAGTACCCCCTTTCTAAGAAAAAAGAATCATTAAAATCTGACAACGTGGTAAAGAATTATCGCTGAACATACATTAAAAAATATATTCTAATATATTCCTATTTTTGAAGTCGGTTTAAAAAATAGGTGGAAATGAACCTTTTTTCTTTTAATATGTATTATAATCACTTTCAAAAGCAGTCAAAATTAGGCATTTAAAAATATTTTGTGTAGAAATAAAGCGTTAAAAACTTAAACATTATTAAATCTAAAAAAAATAGTTATACTTTTATAATGAAAGAATACCTACCTAAAAAGCGATTTTTAAAGAATTTGCAATCATAAATATGCAAATTCCTCAATAATACACTGAGAGATATGATACGAAAATTAATAAAATTGTGTCGTTTGGTTCATAACAATAAAACACCTACTAAATTTACACTGGCAGACAAAACGAAATTCTACTGTATTAATTTTACATTTGAATGATTTTCATTTAGAAATAATTTTACTCTATATACAGACAAACCTTGGGTTAGTTTAGATGTGATGTAAATAAAAATGTTTCTCTGTTTTCAGATGCTGTGGTCTCAACATTGATTATTCAACATGCCAGAAACGCTGCATCTGTATTAATACTTTTTAAGGATTATTCGTTGGAATTGGCCATTCCTTTCGTAAAATGGATACTTCTCGTAATGTGGCTAATCTTTCAAATGATCCTAGTACCATTTTATTTCGTTTCGGTGATACTGTCCTTTCCATTGAAAATGCTGTTTGTAGGTTTTAAATTGTTGATTCTAACAGTTATTTTAGTTATAGTTTTGCCACTTATGACTTTTGACTTACTGCTTCAATATTATCACGGAGCTGGAATAAGGAACCGCCGCTAAAATTTGAGAAGGATTTATAGAATAAATCGTGCTAAAGTTGAAGAATTTCATTCTGTTTAAAAAAAACATTTATAATTATTTTAATTTTTTTTTGCAAATTTGCGAAAAGTGACTTTTTTTTTTAAATAGGTATAAAATTTGAAGCAATAGTCGAAATGTGGTTTAATTATCGTTAAAATGTCTGTATGACTCCAAAATAAGAGTATTGCCCTTGCAAGCATTTTTTATTCAGTAGTTTTTTATGACGAATGGTGCAAAACTACTGAATAAAAAATGCTTGCAAAGGCACTACTCTTATTTTAGAGTTATACAAACATTTTGAGGACAATTAAACCACTTCCCAGACAACACACCAAATCCCAGAGATATCCACAGAATATCTTTTGTGTATATCCAATATATCCACAGGATATCAGAATTATCCCGTGGATCTAATATGGATATCCAAATGTCCGTCTATATCCAGAATATAGAAGATAATCACATGGATATCCAGCAAAATATCTAATGGGTATC